CAAATAATGACTTTGTCCAAGAAAAAACACATTATAGCTGAGCTAAATGAAGAGTGCTATGTTTAATGAAGAAGCTATGTTTAATGTCAAAATCAAAATCTTGGCTGATTTTTATGTGCTGTTGGATGTTGTCCGCCATTGCTTCTGTGGTTAACGTCACGTTGTAATCCAACTGCAGTTGAGTTGGACGGCAATTGTAGTTCAAGATGAGCGTTCGATGACGTATACTATCAAGCTCACAAATGGACCAATCAGAGGTTAGCGCTGATTTCCAGCTGACGGCGTCCTGTCCTAAGAAACCAGGCCTTTTGAGAAGACAAAAATAAATATAAAGTAAAAAAATAGCCTTTTTCTATAACGTTTCGATAAAAAAAAATCAAAATTAAGATTCCAAAACTCAGAAAATATTTTTTTTTTAATTTTAAACAAAGGAGAATAATCACTATATGGATGGTTGACCGTCTAAAGCTAAGAACAGATGACGCTAGGGGCTAAAATTTGTTGTAAGACTTACGGCTTACTACTAAATTTACTACTACTACTACTTACTACTACTACTTACTAACTTACTACTTACTACTACTACTTACTAAATTTAAAAAGCATGCCATCTATATATATATTTCTCTTACACGGAGTCAAAAAAAAGCCTCATTACAACTCCCCGAATGGCAACGCTAGAAAATCGGCCAATGGTTGCAGCTAAAAATGTCACATGCCAAATCTAGCTGAGGTGACTCAACATATAGCGCTTTTAAAAACGGAAACTGAAATAACCAGAGAGAGCATTCTCACCAAATGCTATTAAGCTAGGCAGAAGTGAGTAGTCTTTGTCGATAGATCTTCATTTTAGTATTTGATCGAAAGCGCTTTTTTTCACGAATTTATATATTACGAATTTATTTGACGATTTTTGATTTATATCACGAATTTATTTTTTTTATTATTTTTATTAGTTATTCATTGAAAAATGAGTCTCAGTCGTGCAGTTACGCTTTTGAATTAAAATCAAAAGAAGCGTGCTCGAAGATTGGAAGAGAGCATTGATGACACGTAGTGGTGAAAGAATGCGTAGACGACGTGCTGTCATTTTAATAGACTTAATTATAGTCAAAATTTTAACCTTTTTAAAGAGATATCAGTTTTAGAAATTTTATCTTAAGATTTTATACTATAGCACATTTCTAATAGGTTTAACGAATTACATGTCATCTATTTGAATTCAAATTTATTTTAATGACTTAGTATTTGCTAAAACGATGTAAATTTTTTTTTTTAAGTAAAGTTATTATATGGATTTGAATGATTGTTTTGAATTCTTAGAATTTTGTGCATTTGAAATGTTCCTAAGTTAGCAGCGAGCGAAGCGAGCTTGGTTATTATATTGCGTAGCAATTTTCGGGGGTTGGCGAGCTTTAGCAAGCAGGGGGCGCAGACCACTAGTTATTATAATAATATACGATTAGTGTTTACAATATAACGCATTCTTTCAATTTAAAATTCAACGAAACAAAAAACAAATGAAAGACTTCGCAAGCAGGCTATGATGCAACCCAAAAACGGTGATATTTTACGCAAATATAACCAAATAAAGGATAATACTCAAAGCGTGGTAAACCTTAACATTTATTTATGTTTTGATATTAGTTTTCTTGAATTTGTTTTAGCTTCACACCCAGTGAGAATTTGTAAATTACAGGAAACTCTTGTGAATAATAAAATTAAGCGTAAATTTAATCACAAATTACAATAATAAAACTTTTTAGAATATTAAGCCTGTTCACTGATAACATAAATGGATGAATACACCGAAAGTTTTCTAAATTTCTTCCGGTTTTAAAAAGCTTGTTATTGTTTACATTTAGATAAAGTCAAAGAAAAACCAAACTAGAATGAGAAAGAACCATAGAGCAGATTTTACATAAACTGCCAATTTTGTACATGCAATTAAACAAATATATGTAGTTTTATCATACTACATATAACAAACTCAATATATATTGTGTTATAATATTATAATTATTATGATTATAATATTATACAAATCGCATTTTCTGTCCTAAATCTATTAAAATTTATTTTAGCCATCATGGAAAAAAAATTGAGAGACTTGCCATAACGAGAAAAAAAAATCAAGCGAAACTTTGTTTGTAGCTTTTTTTAAGAGAAAGTACAAAAATAGCTCCCTTTTTCATCCTAGCTTTTGCTCCATGCCAAACTTGGAGATACTAGAGTGCTTTATCCTTGATACAAATGATCAATAAATTAAACATTCAATGTACTTTTTATTCCCATTTGAAATATAGTTGATTCAAGCTAAGAAGAAAGAATATAGTTCACCACTTCATTACACAACAAAAGACTGTAAACTTATAATATAGTGTATGACTATAATATGTCATATATATTATATATATATATATATATATATATAAATATATTTTAAGTAATTTAAATTTTAACAGTCATGAACTATTAACAGGAAACATCATAGATGCCTTTATTTTTCCTAATACCACTGCAACATCAATAACTATTTTTAGTAAACATTTCCACAAAACTAGAATGTAACAACAGCTAAACTTAAGAGAAATAAATGAGAATATATTAAAATGCAAAGAAAGAATTAAAAGCAAATTTCTAGGTTGCTCTTTTTGTTCTTTTCTTTGAAAATTAAGGAGACAAGAACTTTATTTCAACTTGCCTAGGCAGTATTTTTTTATTTGCATTCTCGTGCGAATAAAAAATGTTAATTACACAAAAAAAATTGTGATCATCATTTAAGAAGGATCATGAAAAATAAATTAGTTTTTTTAGTTTTAATTCTTTAAGTACATATATATATACGCTTTCTGAGTGTGTATATGCAGAAATAAATTTAATTCTTAATCTTGAAAGTGTTAAATTATTCCTTTTCGTGAAACTTCGCGAACTACACTTAAAAGTATATGCGTATCTGTATTTTCTATATTAAACTACTTTTATTCTGAGAAATTCCTTTTTGTGCATAAAATTTAAAGTAAAGCACTAACTTATTCACTACTTTCTATGCTTTTATTCATTTTATTATTCTGTTTGTTACACAGCAAATAAATGAGAAGCAATAAATCGTAAATTAAACATTAAAAAATTCAGTGGTCTTGGAGTAAAAGTAAAATTAAAAGTGCACTTAAATAAGAAATAAGAATTAAAATGAATTTATTACTTATTAAAAAAGTTAAGTATATATTATTTGAAATTCACAAGTCAGACAAAAATTCAATCAATTAGAAAAATTTCTTTTTAGGTATNAATTATTATATATGTCTGTATTTACATAACGTAATATATACATAGAACGTAAGAAAAATATATAAACATTGCAGCTAAAGACATTGAAGAGACATTATAAGAGAATACGTCTTATAAAAGTAAGAAATGGCACATATGAGTCCCGCAGTGGACTGATCGTTAAGACATGGTTCCCAGCAGATCACCGAAGTCAAGCATCACTGGCTGCTGCTAATGTGTGGGTGGGTGACCACTTGGATCAGTCTGCGTAGGGACTGAGGGTGTGCAGTATTGGTCCTCGTTCAACTGTTCAACCGTAAAGTGCTTGACTTCGCGTGCAGGTCGTCGGGCTACCGAAGCGGGGGCGCCATCCCCTCTGCAAAGGATCAAAATTGTGATGGCATGTCTTCGGATCATCCTCAGGGATGTTTCCCAGACCGTCTCCAATAGCCCATTGTGCAGCTCTAGTGCGACGTAAAATGAGCAACAACAACAACAGCACATATGAACGCATTAATAGAGATATAAGATATGTGAAAGTGATATATATTAAAGGAGATATACGTATGTCAAAGAGATATAATTTCAGTTAAAAAAGAAACAATAAAAATAACAAAGAAAACAGAAGTTTTTATTGATATATATTAGTAAATATTTAAAAGCTAGAAAACATTTTCGACAATTTTTTTTAAGCACAGATCTTTTCATTTCTAGTTGTTGTTTACTAAGTTTCTGTAAACACTAACCGTCAATGAATCAATTGAGGCAACGCAATTGCGCAGGATTATTTGAATTTCCATTTCCATTAATTCCATTTTTATTTATTAACTTTCCAAATTCTTGCAACCAAGAGTGATATTCAACAGCCAATCACAGTGATAAAACCTAATTCCCTGACTGTTATCATGTCTTTGTTCCCATTTTGCAGCAGAAATTATTTTGTAAAAGATTTGAGCTCAGAAATCGTATAATTTATCCATTAGAAACAAAATTATCTGTTTGAAATTATCACCTCGTAAAATAAGCTGTAGTAAGCAGCTGTATACTTTCTAACCAGAAATAGAGCAGGTCAAAAACTCAGGTTTGTTGCTTACATTTTCATATTGAAAACACCATACATATGAATGGATAAGACACGGTTCCCAGCAGATCACCGAAGTTAAGCATCACTGGCTGCGGTCAGTGTGCGGGTGGGTGACCACTTGGATCAGTCTGCGTGGTTACATGTAGTTTTCATCCTCGCATCGTGTTTGACACCCCCCTTCCAATCGCTGAAAGGGAGTGGCTGGGTTGGGCAAANTGCCGAAGCGGAGATGCCATCCCCTCCGCAGAGGATCAAAATTGTGATGGAATGTCTTCTGATCATACTCCGGGATGTTTCTCAGACCGTCGCCAATAACCCATTGTGCAGCTCCAGTGCGACGTAAATTAACAACAACATATGAATGGACCTTAGCATGTTGTGTCTAAAGATTCCTTCTTACTGCATGTAGTACGTGCACATCCAATCGCCATCGAGGAGTAATGAGACCTGATTGGCGAAAAGAAAATTCTCACTCAAAACTCACCAATGAGGTTCACGGTGGTGATCGGGAGCGTGTGATTTGCATTTAGAGAGAATAGCCTTCACGTGCTCCCATGAATGGTCCATGTGCAGTTCTCACTTACAGACTAAATGCAGTGAGATACAACCTTAAACATCACAATGTGGAAGTATCCGTTCAAGAGTCTTTTTCTTAGCAGAAATAAGTTGTTAGTATTTCGTGTTCAATTTAGCTGGGTAAAAAAAGGTAGCTTAATACTTTCTGAATAGTTTAATCGTCCTTGCCTTCAAAAATTTTATAAACAAAGTTAAAGTTTAATAAATAAATATGGGTGGAGGTCATCATGTTACCCCTCCAAAAATACCTGATTATCGAATCTATAAAGTGGAAGATATCCCTCATCTAATGCGAACTAAATTGATGTTGGAAAAGCAAGGATTAAAAGATCCTTGGTTAAGGTTAGTGTGTTATTACATCTTGACTTTTTTTTAGTAGTCTAAGTATTTCTAAAAAGAATTACTGAACAATAGTTGTTATAAATTTATTACTAAGTTAATAATTTTGTTTGAGCTCATTTATTTGTTGATGCAATCTATGATATTAACACTCTGTAATCAAATTTTTGAAGTAAATAGTGGTTCTTCAGTTTCTTGGGATTACATGCAGTTCGGACAACATAATTTTTGAGCCCTTTAATATGGTTAAAAATCTATAATCTACTTTAAAGATAATTTTCTTTGTTGCATTTTTCTGGTAAAAAATTTTAATGGTATATTTATTAAGGAGAATATTAAAAATAAATTTTAGTATTAAATAGTAATTAAACGCTAAAAAAATTTATACATGGGGCCCTATAATATTTTTTATACTTTAAGAACATACTGCTGATAGAAAAGTAGAGAACAACTAAAACGGAAAATAAAAATCTAAGTTTGAGAAAATGCATAAGTTTTAAATTAATGCATAGTTTTAATTTTAAATTTTCACTTATTTAGACTTAGGATTTTAACTATGCTACTTTACACCCATATTCAACTCACTTGATTATTTGTCTAAAATCTGAACATTCCTTCTTTATGTAAACATTTGCCTAACCTGAATATGTCCAATTTCGAATATTCTTGATCTCCTTTAAGTGTAAAAAGGAATTAATTATTGGACCATAACAAAGAGGCAAGCAAAGGAGGATAGTCATGGATAACTTACATTAACAATTCTAGTTTAAATTATTTTTTTTTTAATGTAAGTGACAAACTTTTTTTTCTACATTTTAATATAATTTGATAGGATATTGAAAATCAGTTCATGTTAAAAGAAATACATAGTTAACCTATTCATATTATGAGGTTCAACTATAGTTATATTGTAAGATTAGATATTTTTGTTTAGTTAATTTTAAATAAGCTTGTTAAAGAGTTGAAAATCCTTTTTGAAAAAAAGTTTAAAATAATCTTCTTTTTTATTGTTCTGTTACTATGAAAGAAAAGTGTTTGAAATAAAAATACTGATCTAAACTAAAGAAGCATTTGCTTTATGTACCGTGCAAAAAATAAAAGATATATGAGCCTGAATAACTTTCATTCTAATGATCGGGTTTTCACGTACTAGGTGTCAATCTTAATAGTTCCTGATACTAATTACTTAGTACTAACTATTAATGAAGTTATAAAAAAACAGACACATAAACGTACTTTCTCTGAATAAACTTATATTTCTTTTTTTGGATTTCTGACCCCCAAAATAGAGGGGTATAGCTGCAATTTGGAAACTGTGATCCCAATAGTTTAGGAGCACAGAGAGTGTGATAAATGTGGTCCCCTTAATGTTAATTGCACTTTTTGCATTTTTGGTCATATCTTAGAAACTAATTGGCAAAAACTAGTTTTTATTTATTATTTAATTTAATACTGCATGAAAACATTTTGTATTATAAACCATAAAATTTTTATACCATATCAATCTACGTATTTTTCTTGAGTAAAATCTGAAGTTTCACTTGTTTTTATTAAGTAAAAGTTTGGAAAATTTAAATGTTTTTTTTTTTTTTTAAATTAGTTGGCGTCAATGAAAAAAATATTTAAATAGTGCGATTAATGCCTAAATTTGTTATACTTTTAAGGAACTTGACTTAAGCAAGCCTAGCATAAATTTAATACATTATTTTTGTTGTTTTGATTTGGTATCTTTTATTTTTTTAATTATACAATATGATGTTTCTTTTTAAATTGTCTGCTTATTTATAGTACTTAATTTAGTAAAAAGCGATTTGAATAAGATATTATATTTAACGAATGTCAAGTCTTATAAAAACATGTTTTTGATTGAATGTGGTTATGCATCTGCTTTTTTTTTTACTTCACTTTTTAATTGATTAATTCCACAGTTGATTCAATTTCAGCAATGTGCGTAACTATGCATTTATTAAAAATAATATAATTATCAATATATATTTTAATAGCCTAACAAATGCATTAAATCATATAGCTGGAATATTTTAAGTAAGTTATTTAATAATTTTAAGCAAACAAGGGTGTTAAAATCGAAGTACACCTAAGTATACCCTGAAATATATCTAGAATAAATTTTAGAATCAATAAATAAAGAATACATTTTCAAACAATTTCGAGTAGGACGTAAACATAACTTGCTTGAATGGCTTGAAATAATTTTCCTTGTATAACTATTTAACTAAAATTCCTGGTGCCAGGGGACATTTTGTTTTGTCACTCGACTTTTGAAATTTCCATTTAAATGGAAGTTTTTTTACATCCTTAAAAAATGTTTTTGATGCCAGCAATAAAAAATTTGTATTGTATTGATTTTTTGAGAAAGTTATGACTAGTTATTATTTTTCTATCTTAGAACCTGTGCCATTTTCATATGTAAAATTTTTTTTATCATGTGAAGTATTTAAATATATATCGTGTTACTGCATGAATAATCTCAAGAAACTGAAGCAAAAAGATAAAAACTTAAGTGACTTAAAAAATATAAAGGATTTGATAAAAGTAGAGAGGTTATGAGTGTCGAAAAATTAATGTCACATATCATTCTCACCTGGCAAGTCTGTAGAACAGGCGTCTATTTTTGAAGGCTTGATACAAGTCGATTTTTATTTCCATCTTTATATTTTTTGAAGCCAATAAAGTTTTTACCATCAATTATACTGTTTTACAGTTGGGTCAGGATCATTATTTTGATACGAATTTTATGCTTGTAAAAGTAAACATTTGTATTTTAATATTTAAACAAGGTTCATTTGGACTTTTAAAAAGTAAGAGAACCATCAATAGACAACAACCATCAACAATCAATGGCATCATCAATATTGCTATTACAAAGTTATGTTTAAAATTAGAATTTTGTTAATGAAAATGAACATTTTAAGTTTTGTTGCCACCATTTCAATATCTTGAGAACCTTAGGAACTTCGTTTGAAAGGAGCGTATCATATCAGATTTATGTATTGATGGTGAGAATCGTAAAATAAGTTTGTAAATTAATTAAGAAAGAAATCATAGCAGTATTTGGTGATAAATGTAGCTGATCGCAATTGAAAAACATGTTGAGCAACATTTTATGATGAATTTACTAAAATAAATTTTAATGTATCAAAACAATCGGTTGCCATTATTTGCAAATTATCTTTATTCAAAGAAAACCATGTAATTGCCATGTAATACTTAGTTTCATTTAATTGCCATGTATTGTATAAGACCATGTAATATTTGGCAGAATGGGATGTTTTTTCAAACGTTAAATCCGACAATATGCAACATATTATTTCCATATGTTATTCTTTAACATTACATATTTCAATGTTTTTAAAATGCTACTTAATGTCCATCAGTTTTTCCAGTTACAGAAAAAAGAAATATTGTACATTGATTAAAAAAAACTTATGAATGTGCATTAGAATTACTATACCCTCTACTTTTTCTTGTGTAGAAGACTCGATCAAAGCTGTAGAAATGATTGTCCTTAAAAAAAAATTTATATAATTAGTTGCATAAATTTGTTTTTAGCATGAAATCCTCGTAAAAATGAAGTTAAAAAAATGTTAAAAAAAAAATAATAATAAATATCAGATACAAATTTAGTATATTCAAATTTTCTTTTCAAAGATTATTAAGGAAAAAAAATACTTGCTTTTTGGTCAGAAATTAGCTCAAAAAGTTTTTATTGTCTAGAAACCTCAATATATTTTTCTATTAACTATTGATAAATAAACCTCTCTGAGCAATCACAGAATATCATTTTTGTTTTTTTCTTTCTTATTTTTCATTTTCTGAACTTGGTTGCTTAGCAATGCTGTAAAATTAGTTCTTGCTCTCTTGAATTAGTCTATGGTTTTCTTAAATTACTCATTTGCAATGGCGACTTTGCTTGACTGCTTTTTAAACTATTGGGAATAAATAAGATCGCTTTTATTGACATAACATTCCACTCTTTTATGTACAGTCATTGTAAAGTAATTGTTTTTTAATTATTTATACTCTCTTTATTTTTCCCAAATAAAGATCAAAAGGGAAGAAAGTTTTTTTCTTTTTTTCCAATAGTTTCAAACCTGATGATTGAATTGCTTTCTGTTTGATTTTGAAGATAATTAAGTTGCGGCAGTACAATAGCATGGAAAGACAGTGAATACAGGCCATACTGTGGAAAAACAGTTCCAAAAATCTCTTTTTTTCTTTTTTTTTAGAATCAGATTTTATGAACTTAAATCATTCTTCCTCTTGATCTTCAATTATTTGCCTAGATAATTGCAAGTAGTTATGCAATGTTTTTATTTTTTATAGACAAAGTGTATTAATTTTTTGTTAATTTTATAGAAATGAAGTTTGGAGATATCCACCAGAATCCCAACTTGGAATGTGGGGTCCTCTGAGAGAGGTAATCTTTCGAAAAGTTGGACTTGGATTTGGGTTAGCTGTTTTGACAATCATTGGAGAAAAGATATATCATCACTACTATCCTCCAAAAGAACACCACCATCATTAGAAATTTAATGATAATTCTTTTTTTCAATATATGTTTTTAAGAATAATGAAATTTGTCATATAAGCATAAATATAATGAAGTGTTTATTTTGTTGCTTTAAATATTTTTGTTTTATTAGAATAAAACTTCTTGTTTGTGAAATTAATTTAGTATACTGTTATTTAATCTTTTCCTTATTTACCGAAACATTTTATACTTATGATACGCTGAAAGTTAAAAGATTTGGGTACTGTACATCATTTTGGAACAAAATTTGCAACTCCAATCTCTTGATTCAATGATTTAAATTTTTTACATAGAAAAAGGTTTAAATAGCAATGAATTCTGGCTTATTCAAATTATTAATACTTCTGCATAAAATGAACGCTACGTAATTGGAAGTTAAAAATTTTTAATAAATCTGAAGAATCTGTATACCCTTAAAAGTTGCTGAGAAAATGTTTGTATTTTATTGAATTCTTGCAGATATCTTTTTTTTATTATAATTCAGTTAATTTCTGAAAATTATTCATCATTTTTCAGTGTGATTTTTAAAAGTTGTAAAACTTGATTTATTTAGGAAAAAAAAGTTAACAGATTAAATAATATTTTCCTGTTATAGAAAGTTACTGTGGCTTATGCCTTACTGCTGAAGCTTTTTCATTTTTGCTACAAAATTATTATTCTTTTTTCTGAAAATAAAATTTCACATAAAAATGAAGAAAAAAATTAGAACTTTCATTGCTAAAACTGAGCCAGGATTAAAAAGTTTTGAAATGTTATTATTGTGAAAGAGCAGTAAATATCTTAATAACACAAAATTGTTCACGTTAACCTACCAGAAAGCATAATTAATTATATAATAGTATATAATTATGACTGTGTGCCATAACTTTAACAGTTAAGCTCTTTTTTTTTTCTTCATAGCAACGTTACAAAATGTCAATCAATTTTGCATAATAAAGCAAAACAATTTTAGTTAGTCTGTCAGTCAAACTGTTATAAATTAAGGATAAAAATGTGATATCAAATTAACAGGTAACAGACCAAGCACAAATTATTTGAAATCAGTTGTAGTCACTCCATTCAACAATGCAGTAACAAAAATATGTTTTTTTTTTTTTATATATATATTTGCTACTAAGTTTATTATATCTAATTCAGTCTGCCACCCATCAAAATGGTCATCAAATGTTTGTGCTTTAAAGTTTACAAAACAACTGACTTTTTTATAAACATGCTTCTTGGGCGCAATTGTTCAAAATAATGAGGGGGAAAAACATAAAATAAACTTTCAAAGAAAATTGCCTACCTATCCCATAAAACTTTAATTTTACTCACTTTCTATTTTCCTAACTAATTAAATTGTTTCATATGCTTGACAACAGTGATAGTCGGTTAATGTTATACATAACTGTGACTGACCTGGAAAACATTAATAAAAAGCAAAATAGCACATCAAAATATCCTGTTTAAATCAATATTTTACAATGTTAATGATAAATTAAATTGAAAAGTAATAAATGATACCATAAATTAAACATTGAAAAAAAAAACAGAATATCTTCTCAAATGAAATGGAATCTTTTAAAACTTTATTTTTAATAGTATAGCACCAGAGTTCGAAACTTTTATCTATGTAACACAAAACAATACATTCAGCGAAGTATTAAACAATAATAATTAATTTCAATTTGAAAAAGAAAATTCTTGTTTAAAATATTTTTGTTCAACACTAATGATATGTTTATTTTCACACATGTAGTAACATATATTATAAAAAAATTTATAAAATCATAAATTAAAATGTCTAAACAAAAGAGATTCCAAAGTGGCTGATTAATACAATTTTATGCAAGAATATAAATATTTTAAGGGGTTGTGGCATTGATATAGTAAAATTAACATGAATCTCAAAAAGAGAGTTTCTGCTTAAAATGGTACACAAGAGGTGAACAGATTTTCATTTAGATAAATTATAAACACTAAAAATATCTGTCCCTTATTTTTTATTTATTTTTTTTGTGAATAAATTGTGGAAAAAAATATTTTATATATATCATAGATTGACACTACCCCCTGAAATGTTTATTAAACTAAATTATAAAATTGCTTTCTAGAATTATAACTAAAATAAATTGCTATATCAAATTGAAATAATATTATTAATATTAAAATTAGTTTTTTAGTATGCATCATTTTACAGACAGTTGAAACGAAAAATATATTAGTTAAATGAACAAAAACAACACAAGCAATATATATATATATACTATCCTACAATAATAGAAGAGACACTTTTTTTAAATTTCTCACGAATAACATAAAGGATTATTTTGTAGCTTAACAGTGTTTAGTTCATGAAAATTTTCATACTTAGCAATAAAGTCAATATAAATTTAAATCATTGATATTTTTAAAACATGAAATTCTAAGTAAATTATATGCAGCGTAATTTAAATGAATAATTATGTATAATTTTACTTTTATCTTTAATTATATTTATTATTCTACCAGAAAAAATATTTACAAATGAAAGAGATGCCTAGTATAAATTCTAGTTCTAATATTTTTAAATAAAATATACAAGAATTCTTATGCATAAATGTGAAAAATGATTTCTTGAAACTGGACCTTGATTTCCAGAAACTTCCAGATCGCGGTTAGGGGAAAATTCAGATTTTTTCCGGAGCACAATCAGCCCTGCTTTTTGTCATTCGTTTTTTTTTTATTATTATTATTCCATAAGTTTCAAAATATTTTGTGATATGAAACAAGATTTATTAAAAAGGACAGGGCCAACTCCTTATTAAAGAATGGTATATTTCAAACATTTTCTTTCGTTATACAATCACATCTTTTGGTCCGGTTATTATAGAACAGTGTAATTTACAATACTACAGAATGAAATTCATGGATACCGCCTGATCATTTTGAGCTTTATTTTGAAAAGAACAAAAACTAGTTAGAAAATTACTTGAAACTTTTTTAATTTTTAAGATATTCAAATCAGATTTTATCATTAGCTGCCCAATACAATTAACTACAAAATTATGGAGAAAAACAATTTTTTTCCGTGGATGTGCAGTATTCAAGAATTACTTTAAATACACATATGTATCTTGCACAGTTTCTTACAAAAAAAAATTTTTAAATAATAATTTTATTATTAATTTTGAATTTTTCCAAAAATTCCGTTTAATTTTATTGAAGATTTTATAAGTTATATAAAAGAAACTATCTTTTTTTAAAAAACAATTTCGTATCTCCATAAATAATTAAGCTAAGTTCAAAAAATTTTATGCAGTTATTGCAAATAACAATCAAAGTATTCAATACAAGCTTATAGCTCGATTTTCTGGCATAGGGTGTTCAAAAATACTTGTTTCCTTTTGTAATTTATAATCAGTCCCTCAAACCTTTGAGAGCTTTAAACTTTATTGCTAAGTATGAAAAACAGTATGAACTAAACAACGCTAAAGTTACAAAATAATCCTCTAAGTATTTCTTGAAAAAGTTCAAAAAATGTAAAAAGTGTCTCTTCCAATTATTGTAATGTAGTGTATGTGTATATATACACAAAGATGCAGTAATATAATCTAATAAACAATTTATTAAATATAAATGGTAGTAACTAAATAAATAACTACTGACAAATAAGAGTAACAACGGTGAATAAAATTTCAGGATATATTTTAATTAATTTAAATAAACTAACAAAAAAAAGCACTAATCAAAACTTAAAAAAATATCACCAATGTAACGTTGTTTCAAAAACAGATCTCTACAGAGTTTTGTAGATGCATGTGTCATTAAAGTAGGCTTGATAAACGATTTGTTTTATCATAGAATGAGATTTTTGAGTTTTATAAAAATTTTCTAAATCAAACAATATTACATCTCCAAAAACATTGTAAACATGCCTACGAATCTCTAAAATAACATTCACAATATTTATAATACATGATGATAATAAGATCACTATAAAAAAAAACAATACAGTTTGTACAATAATTATCACAAATATATAATAGGTATTGACACAGAGTACAACTTTTTGGAAACATTCTATAAATTTATAATCTATTTTTTCAATATGAACATACATTAATATACTATTTATTACAAAAACTTTATGTCTATAAATATTAGTTTTCCAACATATTAGCTTATTTTTTATATTATCTCAACTTTTTGTTTGAGTAATAAAATTAAGATATTTTTTCGCTAATTTTTAAATGCATTCAATAAGTTTTACAAAAAGATATTATATTCCACCTTTAAAATATTTATAAATTTTTACATTACACATCAGAGTGGTTTTTATAAATGGCAATTAAAATGTGTATGATATAGTACAACCAATAAAAATGACTAGAACACTGCTCAAGATATCAGATTTCATAATTTTGAATATGAAAGAAATTGAAAGTACGATAATCAAGAGAGTTGATACCTAACAAGTAATAAACATTTTGGATAATACAACAAATTTTAATTCATTCTTAATTTAGTAAAAAGGAAATCAGAATCTAAATATCAGATAATAGAATAGATAAATTTCAATAAAATATATTTAATTTACTTACAAATAAGGTGGAGTGTATTTAATATAATAAAAGAAATGTTAAGTGAACTATATATATTCTTTTATTATAATTATTTTAGTATTACAAACAGTCAAATTTGTAGCAAGTGGTAATGATTAAGAAAAATAACTATCTAAATCACAACATATACATTAAAAAAACACGAGTATTTGTCAAAACATAGAAAATTCTGATATACAGCAGACTCCTAACTATCCATTTTAGTGTGTATCTGCAGTTTGATTATGGAATAAAATTTAGTTAGCATAAAATATAACAAAATTATTAATATTCAGAGAAAGGCAACAAAAGTTTTAATAAACACAAAAATGCAACAAAACTATAAATATTATTCACACGAGGTTTTGTTTTCTGCCTAAGGTGCATTACAATACTTTAATCAATGTCCAGAAATACTCTTATATTTCCGGCAATGGTTAAGTCTTTTCTTTTTTTTTTTCCATGTTATTGAAATGTTGCAAATTAAAAAAATAGATGTTTAAACACAATGGTTAACATCTTTTAAGGAAGTGAGATGAAAAAATTAGGCTGTACATCTAATTTTATATTAATTGATACTAATTATTCCATAGTATGACTAGAACAATATCAATTTGTTTTAAAAATTAAAAGACACTATTTAATACTTTTAAATAAAAAATATTTGAATTATCTGCTCACTTAGCATTGTTTAATAAAATTGAATTATAGCACATTAACTTTCTTGAAAAACATTACTATGTATAAACTATATACATTTTAAATAAATTCTTTAACACATTTGTTTTGAACATTATTTGGTTAAAAGAAATGTTCATTTAAAAAAATGAAAAAATATCTTCAGGTAAATTTAAAGTGCTTTGTAAAACAGTAATAAAATTTCTGAAGCTAGTTATGAATTTTTTTCTCATTTTTTGTTAAAAGTCAGGAAAGTGTGTATGTACCACAGGGACTAACTTAGGCTTTTGGCAATAGAATGTGCAGCCTTATGTTAATACATAACATATACAAATACCACTTTTTAATATTTTGCAGATTATCCATAGAATTCAGTTTTTAAAAGTTGTCATACTATCTCCACAATCAGGAGTAATTGTAATGTTTTTTTTACTGAATTAAAATTTATTACAACCTAATTAATAACAAAAAACAGAAGCAACAAATCATTACTAGTGCATGTTTAACATGTATGTACATTGTACCAAATCTCTATTGTGGTGTGTATGATGTGTATACTCGTCACGTAAAGTTAATATCAAAAATCAAGATTTCAATAAAATGAAGAAAAAAAATATTTGATAGTATGTTTTTTTTATATTACCATCGACACTCCATGAGGTGCCGGGTATCATCTACTTCATCGAAAGCCAATACAGTAAAACCTCCAGGAAAGACCACTTCTGTGTAGCGACCTCCTCGATTATTTATTGAAGTCAAATTTTATTCATCAATCCAGTTTTCATGATGCCATCACAAGTGGCATTTCTGCGCAAAGGAAATGACACCGAGAAAAATTAAAATCGTTTGCGAAAAAACATGTGCCTTGATAACATTTTGAAGTCATAGGAAGTAATCCCTAAGAACAACCAATCTCCTTTAATGGCCATTTTACTGTGGAACAAAGAGCAGTCGCTCCCCCCCCCCCCCCNGAGAGGTTTCACGGTAACTCCAGCAATACACCGTCTGCTCGAAAAATGGAATCCATATGCAGTCAAGATACTGGTGTACGCTTTGTGTGGTATCATAATTCAAGGAATACCACTGAAATAAATTGAAATTCTTAAAATTATTTTCTATTTTTATGTAGTTTATTATAATTTGTATTTCAATTGTATTACTCTTACTTTGTATCTTATTTACTTTATTATATTTTGATAATTGTTCACAACTTTCTAATAACAGTAACCTTTTCAGATATGAATAGTTAATTTTTTATTTATTAAAAGTGTAATATCCGTAGTCATTTTATGTAAAATTTATAACAGGAGCATTTATCCTACTTCCGACGTGTATACACAAGAGATGAGACAGACTCGGTCAGATCTTGGGATCGTTTACTGAAAAATGGTTTTGGGTGGACTCGTGAATAAAATTTGCATTAACTTTTCTCTTACTTTACTAAGACATTCTTACATGAAGCAGCAGAGCAAAATAAAAATAAATTCTCAAACCTAACAGTTTACTAAGAGAGTTTCTGATTTGGAATCTTACAAAAGTTAAATGATGATGATTCCTCTTCACCATTTCTCTTTCTCATTCAATTCTACTTTTTTCTCTTCGTTTTTTGGTTTACAAACCAGTTATTAGTGGTGCAAAAAAGATTTTAATGACTCCTTTCCTTGTTTAGACATCAAATGCTTAGTGACAACACTGCAAATTTGGGCCTTTATTCAACGAATATCTCGGACAAATTCTGAGTAACCTCGGGCTCGAATTAAAATTTTTCAGGCTAATGCTGCTCGGATCTCCAAAAGTGTGTTCAAACTCATCTCTAGTATACACATCATCGCTTGATTTTAATTTTACAATCTGAGGGGGGTTTCTGAAATTAAATATTGTGCTCAACTGATGAAGATAAACATAAAAAACGTATCTCATAATTCAAAAGTAAATTATTGTCTTCTAACAGTCAACAAAACTTTGATACAACAAAAATCTCTTTAGCAAAATGAGTTGTAAGTTCAATACTGTAAGTTCAACTCTGAAATACAGCTAAATTGCTGATGATCAATCATTTTTAACTGCACTGCAGTTTTCATTCATATGTCGTAAAATGAGATTTATGTGACAATTAAGTAATTGGCAACTATTAGAATTTCTGACATGATTTAATTATGATTACAAACTGAATTATAGTACAATAATCTTTTAAAAATGTTAGAAACATTCTAAACTCTTATCACCAAAAATTCACTTCACAATTAAAACTATGTGGATGTTATAAGAAACATACATTAAATGCATTAACTCCTCAAATGGTAACAAGTTTGACATCTCAGATATTGCTCATGTGTTTTCCAAGGTGTGCTTGACATCCATTCCTGACTGCACATCACTAACTTTAGGAACGTCAGCGTTTTTTTCTAAACGAAAGAGTTCTTTTTCTGTTTTGGAATCTAAGTTTTTGGGTATCACATTGAAGTTTTTTGAGTCTTGTTCACAATTTTTAGAATACAAATTCAAACTGGAAATATCAAGAGTATTGTCTTGTCCTTCATTCTTATGGAAAGCATTTATTTTAAAAGTAATTTCTGAGATAACAAAGTTTTCATCAGAGGAAGATTTTAATATATTATTATTCATTTGCTCTTCATCATGTGAGCTTGTAGAATCTGGAGAATCAATGAATTCATTTTGATTTCTTCCGTGGCTAATGTGATCTTCCTCTGCATTTGGAATCCCTGAAAAATTGGAATGTTTTAATATTTTATCACAAATATCCATAATATCCATATAACATTTTATCACAAAATGTAATGAATAATACCAATCTTTCAATTTTTAGCAGTTAACTAATGTTAATCCTAAGGTGGTATGAAATTCTAACACAAATATCTCAGATATATTTCATAGTGCTTTTTTATGTACGCCTTAAAAACTAGAGACTAACATTTTACAACACATTTTTTAAATTAACTCCAACATAAAATTTTACATTTTTCTGGAAAAATTCATTAAAAGTTTTATGCATATACTAAAAAAATAAACATTACAAAAGATTAATTCGTTTTAGCAACCACAAAAACATTAACAAGGATCAAATTATTTTTTACTGAAACAGGGAACAGCACACAAATGCTTTATTGATTGATTTTTAAAAATTTAATAGAAAATCAATCTTGTAATTTATTATGTTTTATAATTTATTAAACTGCTTAATTTATTAAATACTTAATCAATAACTTTTAATAAATTAACTTTTAAGAGTAAAATTTTATAATAGCTATACTTGAAAAACTTATGGACAATTCTTGCCAAAAATTATGAAACATTAAATATTGTGGATTTCTTCAAAATTAAGCATGAAGACAGTTTGAATTGTTGAATAATAATACAATTATATATGTAATTAAAAAATGAGTTAGATTTTTCACCGTGGGATAAGATAGAATCATAATTATAAAGAAATTAGTATACTAATAAGTAAATAGTTATATCATAAGGAAATTAAATTGTAAATTAAGATATTTTAGATGTGTATATTTTCTGAGGGTGAAATGTTAATTAAATATATCAATTAGGTACACTTACAGAAAAATATTTAACTGGCAAAATACTATGTATTTAGTTGTGATACCTGCAGATATTGAAGAATAAACAAAATATGTATTTAAGTTATAGTAAACTTTTGAAATTTTTACCTAGTTTTGAAGTAATATATAATATTTTATGTATTAGCATTACCTTATGGCATCTTTGTGCGTATTCGAATTACATGACATCTCATTATGGCAACTTTTTAATAATTTCATAGCATACCACAAAACACAATAAAGTAGGTAATAGTAATAACATTAAGGTAATTAATTCTAATGCGTAAAAAATTTAGCTATAGATAACATTTATTTTATTGTTTCTTGATTTTAAATGTGTGTTATTGATTAAGTAAAAATAATAAAGAGATAAAGTAGAAAAAACAACCATAAAATGCTATTTGCATCAGAAAATAAAAGAATAATAAAACCAAATAAAAGAAATAGAGCCTCTTTCTAATGACGTAATAGTGTTTGAAAATGAAACAGAGTGAAGTTAGTAGAAGAAGAGAAAAATGATACTTTTGATCTGCTGACAATGACATATTTGTATCTCTGTATTTAGAAAGAAAATGTATTAATAAGGTGACCAAAGAAAAAAAAACTCCTCTGATTTTTGTAATTAATGGCCAGACTTACACAAAATGAAAAACGAATCTCAATTAAAAACTTTTTCATGCATCGATTAACTCTTGTATCTAGTTTCAACCCTTTTGTCACGACCTCATTTTGGCGAAATTTGTTTAAAAATCCCAGAATTTTTTAAGAGTATTTCATTTTTATAAGATTCTAGATTGGATACCACATGGATTAGTTTAGTAAAAAGATGAAAATAGAAATCGAAAATTATTATGTGCAAAAACACTTTTTAAGTAATAAGAAAAACACTTGAAATTTTAGCAAGAAAAAAGTTTAGTTAGGAAGCATTTATCCAACGTTTTAATAAAAATATCAATATGAGACTTAATTTATTTAAGTTACATGAATATAAATATCAATTTGTGATTTTTGAATCATACGAATACGCAACTAGAAGTTTAATTTTAAAGTCACATTAATGCGATTATATTAATATTATTCACTTAAATACCCAAATATTTTATTCCACGTGGCTGCTATTTATGACAGATCAAAGGTACATGTAAGACTGAGATTAACATTTAATACCTGTAAAGAAATACTGTTTTCTTAACATTAAGGACAAAAAGAATTTATATTGATAGCAGTATTCTCTAATATATATTAAATCAATTTTTTTCAAAAAAAAACTTTTTTTTTAATTTATTAACTTTTTGTAATATTTTATAGATATAACAGCATCTATAAGGCAGAAAATAAGAAAATTCTAATAGATAATAATCTAATAGATAATCTAATAAAAATGAATTAGAATCGATAATCAAAATATTTTTCAGAATTTGCAAGATTTGTTTATAGGAAAAATATTGGACTTTTAACTATCTCAAATCAAAATCTATGTTTTTCTATGTTTTTTTCCTGTTGTATTTACATTACATTTTCTAATACTTCAAGATTGATAAAATTCACTAATTTTTCACGATTCTCCATGATTTCCTAGCTTTTTGGTCACCCTTAGAAAAAAATATAGTACATTTTTAAAATATTAATTTTTCATTCTTTAATTTTTCAACACTTTTATATGTTTAGAACTATTTCGAAAAATTAAAATAATTAAGATATTGTAAAAGTGAGTGAAATGATTTATTATTGTTATGCTATGTCAGAACTTGATACTGAATCTATTTTCAAGCAAAACTTAGATGGTTAACTCTGCAAAAAATTTTATTTTCAATCTGACTATTCGACTAAACAAAATTTATATTAGTATTGTTTTCTGAATGCTATTGACGGGTACATCAAAATGTACACTTTTGAATAATATGTCATCACTCATGTATAATTATTTTATTTAATTGTAAAGAATAAAAAAATTGCTAAGTTTCTATAAAAAAAGTAGATAAGTTATACATTAAAGGTTTTACATTATTTTCTTTTTACTATCTTTATTATTTAATAATTTGAAAATTTGTTTCAAAAATGAATTATAAAAACAATATAAGCAAAAAATTAGAGTTTGTTAGAGAGAAATTAGAGTACAATATAGAACAACATTTTATTTCACTTTAGCTTCAAATTATCACTTAAATTGGAAAAAAAATTATTAGTAGTAAAATATTTGCTATATCTCTTTAAATAGTTTCCTTCACAATAAAAAATCTATATAGAAATACAAAGGCACATTTATTAATAGAAAAAGAAAACTGCATTGGGTGTAAATATTATTTTAAAGATACTAAACAAATTTATATAAAACATGCTGTTCACATCCAATTAATAATTTTCCGCTAAAACTTTTTGCCTGACATTAACTAAACTCAAAACCTTTGTTCAATTTGGGTAGGGAAAAACATGCAGTATAAATTGTTAATCTTACACTTGGCAGCAGTTTCATGTGAAGATTCCAAACTAGGTTCACTGCTGAAGAAAAAGATACTGAAATTTAAGATAGATACAAGAAACAGAGAAATAGTATGAAAATAGATAAGTTTGATGAAGGATAAAAACTTGCTTAACATTGAATAAGTTTTTATTAATAAAAAAATGTTTATCTGAAAAAAAAATAAAAAGAAATCTGTAAAAGTCAGTTTTGATATTCTTAATCGAAAAATTATATTGAAGAACAATTGAAAATAAACTGCATTGATGTATCATGAAAATTTTAAATTATGTGATCAATGTTTTCTTGTTTAACTCTCAATAAAATACCTAATTTTAGAAACTGATGTAGAAAATAATAAAAGCATATCTACACAGAGGAAAGTGGTCTCTTTTAAAAGTAGTTAGTAAATGATGAACATGAAAATCATATTAAACACAATTAGAAAATACATAAAGGTAGGAAATATATTAAAAACAAAAATTATGAGTGGATTTCATGTTGCCCTAGTAATTAATTGAAATTAAGTGCTTAACTAATCAGATTATGAAATTTTTTTTAAAAAACTTAAAACTCAGATAAGTATGTCTTACCTCTCAAAATTTAAAAAATTGCTAATAACTTTAATGCTTTAACTCTACTTTTCAATCATGACTAAGAAAAAAATTCCTTAGCAAAATTTATGAAAGTTGGCAGCTATGTTTTTTTGAAATTTACAATCATAGCGCACAAATTTATCTAAAAATACCAAATAATACTTATTTGAAGCGAATTAAGAACTTTAAAAATTGCATGAATAACTAGAAATCATTATGTAACAACTACTTTTTATAAAGTATTTACAAATAAAAGTGTAGGTAAACTGCAAACATAAAAAAAAAATTGAGAACAAACTTTTGATGCTCATTTTCATCACTAACTCTTCCTTCTGGCATTTGTAATTTAGATAATTCCAAAGCAATAAGATAATCCATATTAGGATCAACAACAGCTGTGACTTTATCAGAGCCTGAAATTTGAATAAATAGATATTTACAATGACATAAGTTACAGCTTGGTAGTAGAATTTACAAAAACAATCTAATCAACAGCCCTATCTTCAACAAAAAAAATTATGTTGTTTAGATTTAATTTGAATTTTATACAATCATACTTTAGCTTTGCCCAAAAGAAGAAGAATCAAATACTTATACTAAATTGTATAAAAAAATCAGAAAGAAAGGTTTAACCTCCAAATGATAATATTAAAATGAAATATTTTTATTTTAAAGTAATAAATTAACAGAAATGTAATTAATGATGTTCTGATTTGAGCCTATAAGAAGTTTCTTCAAATGAAATTCATTTGAAGAAAATATTCCTTAAAAAAATATTCCTTAGTCTCTTTTCCTCCGATATAAAAAAAATCCTCCAACTCAAAAATATTCATTAGATATTCTCAAGCAAGACAGCTATAATACAAAAATATGGTAAAAACAAAAATACAATGAGATTTATTTTAATAGAAAATCATTATAGTTAAAAAAAAAGACAGAAACATATCACAATAATTACGTTTTAGCAACGTAAATATTAACTATATACTATAATTACTTGAACTTTTTAGAACATTCCAATGCTTGCAAGATAAAGAACAAAATTCATGGATATCACCAGTTCTTCTATTTTTAACTCTGGGTCTTTTACAGCCTTCTCGAGAACAAGTACCTAAAAATACAATAATGAGCGATGAAAAACAAAAATAAATTGATTTAACCTTTAGTCTTATGGCATCTAGCATGATAACACCTGCTATTCTGGTAAATATATTGTACCAGCCGTAAGAAAGAGTTAAATGCATCAACAAGAAATATTTTTTTTTAAAAATGAAATATGCAATGAATGCACTCATCAATGAAATTATCTATAATTTCTTGAACATTAAAGATTAATAATTTGAAATTCTTTAAAACAAGGATTCATATTTTTCTAAAAAAACATAAATCAATAAAATACTTCTTATAAAAATTTCAAACTTAAAGTATTGAACTGAGGAGAGAAAGCAAGTGAAATTTAAACATATAAAGATGAAAATTTGGACGATTCTCATTTACATCAGGAAAATTTAGCAGTTATGTATAATATTAGCATAGCTAGTTACATATTTCAAAAAATATACGGCTTTCTTGCATGAGCAGATCAAATTAGTTTCTATCATGTTAGTTTCTAAAGGGAAAAATTACTCAAAAGATCAAATATTTGCTATAAATAATAATAATCAAAAACATAATAGTTGCTTACCCATAATTTTCAGTAACTTAAACTATTTTTGATTAAAAAAACGAGTAATAAATGCATTTATATTATAAAATGAAAACAAATATTTATTGATAAACATCCCTGATTTAACCGTAAGTTAGCAAGTTTGATTTGTAGTAATTCTTCATTGAATTGCACCTCATTAGTCAACCAATTTGTATAAACAGAGTACAAAATAAAAAACAGACTACCCTTAATGACTTTGAATCTAATGTTCGGATCTTCATACTCTAGGACTCAAACTAAATGGTTTTGATGGGGAGACCTTAAATATGCTAATTAATTTGTGCAGACAATATTTTAAGTCACAAAATCGGACATGACGAAATATAAAATTTGAACAAAATAGGTCAAATAACTCCTGAGAAATTAAAATTTCGATTTTTAAGGAGCTATTCAACCATTTTGATAAAATTTTGTATTTTGCTTTGACAAAAATTGTATGCCTTATAATTCAAAATTTTCAAACTATTATTAAATAAAATAATAAAAAATAATATTTACTGAAATTTATTTTTTGTTTTAAACTATGTTTGAATAAACGAAATTATAATTAGGGGCCAAAAATGTTTCAATTTGCTTAAAAAGTTCTCGAGATATGGCAAACTACGCAAAAAGTAAATTTAACATAAAGGGGTCCTAACTTAGGATAACTCTTTTGATCATGACCATACCTCTACATTTTAGGGGTCAGAAATCCAAATCAGTCGGAAAATAAGGTATAATTATTCAGAGTAAGTATGTTTTTGTGTCTGATTTCATAACTTAAAATATCGTCTGCACTAATTAATTAGCATATTTGAGGTCACCCCGGTGAACCTTTAAGATTGAAACATGAAGATCTGATCATTAGATCAAAAGTTATTCATGGTGGTCTGTTCTTTAATTTGTGAATTGTACATTTTATTCATATGTCAACCGTAAAATAGCCATAACCAAGTCTGATTGCAGTGAGCAAAATAAAAAACGGACCACACCTTAATTACTTTTGATTTAATTATCAGATATGCTAATTAATTACAATAAAGTTACGAAATTAGATGCAAAAACCTACCAAAATAAAGGGAATAGCCGCAATCTGGGAAGCATGGTTCCCATAGTTTAGGCAGGAGAGCAATCTAAAGTTTAGACCCCTTAATGATAATTTTACTTTTTGCTTCGTTCACTATGTCTCAAGATTATTTTAAGCAAATTGAACATTTTTTTCACAAAATCATAAAATTTGTTTATTCAGATATAATTCTATGCAAAAAATAACTTTTAACAAATATTTATTATTTTTTATTACTTTATTTAATAATGGTCGAAAAAAAAATTATTTTAAGGTACAGAATTTTTTGCATTGTTTTAAAGAACATAATATTATATGGCAAAATACAAAATTTGAACGAAATCGGTCTCATAGTTCCTTAAAAATTGAACTTCCATTATCTGAACTTTTTTAAACTGTAAATTGTGAGAATTCACATGAATTCAAGAATTTACAAATTAACAAGAAAAGCAAAATTATCTTGGGTTTTCATAATAAATGGCCTTAAAGTATTGGCTGTCACATTTTGCCTAAATTATCTTTTTATATTCACAAATAAACATTATAAGTCTTTGCAATTCAACCTGTTTAATAAGTTTCATAAGAAAAAATCATTGTTTGCCTAAATTAAACTTAAAACAAACATAACTTACCTAAAACAGATGCCAGGACTGAATTAGCAATAACATCTTCATCACTGTCATAATCAGGCCAATCACAAACTGCCGCAACATTTGTGTGTTTACCCTGTCGGTTAATAACCCAGGGATCATTCGGATCAACATTCTCTAATGAATCTAATAATCCGTTCATCTGAAAATAATTTATAAAAGACTTTAACGTGATCCTTTTGCTTTGACATAGCAAAAATTTATTACATTTAGTTTTACATTTCTTAGACTTAAAATACTAACAATAGAAAGAATATTATTTTAAATATTAATGTAATTACAATAAAATTATTATAATTTAAAACATTTTAAGGTTTTTACAAAACAAAGCAAAATATTATTTTGTAACATTTCTATTCTAAAAATAATTAAGTACATTGAATCAAAATTCTTCATTACAGTACTATTTATCTCAAAAAAGACAGTAAATAACCATGAAATTGGAATATTATTTTATGACAACTAAAATCTCTTAATAGCTTCAATATACTATTTTCTTCTAAATCTTCTTTTCCCAACTAAGTGAACACAGCAAATAATAATTATAATCAATCAATCAATTGATTATAATTATAATCAATAATCATAATTATATACAATTATATCAAATTACTGTAAATATAATAATTAAGTGTTGTTTTAATACAATCAAAGATATAAATTAACCAATGACAAACAAAATTAGCCAGTCGGGAGGGACAAACCAAAATTTCATTACAAAGTAATATAAGCTATTTTAAATTAACTATGATAGTCTTCTTAACTAATTAATTATTGATTATAATTATAATCAATAATCATAATTATAACCAATTATATCAAATTAGCGTAAATATAATAAATAAGTGTTGTTTTAATACAATGAAAGATATAAATTAACCAATGACCCCCGTGGCAGAATTGTGGAGACACGGGGACATTGTCGCAGAATGTTACTGAGTTCTTGCAGAAAGATTTTTCATTTGGGAAGTAAAAAATTTTGGTTTTCTTTTCTGCAGAAACTTTCGAAAGCTTCTATCTTCTCTTCAGAATAACATTCAAAATTATATGCCATTCTTGCGCATCGGAGTTGGAAAAAAAGGCAGTAATTTTTCTATTTTCATTTGAGAATAATGAAGTAAANCTACTTTTCAATTATGACTATGAAAAAAATTCTTTAGCAAAAATCATGAAAGTTAGCAGCTATGCTCTTTTGCAATTTACAATCATATCGCACAAGTTTATCTAAAAATACCAAATAATACTTATCTAAAGCAAATTAAGAACTTTAAAAATTACATTAATAACTAGAGATCATTATATAACTTTTTATACAGTATTTACTACAAATAAAAGTGTAGGTAAACTGCAAACATAAAAGAAAATTGAGAACAAACTTTTGATGCTCATTTTCATCACTAACTCTTCCTTCTGGCATTTGTAATTTAGATAATTCCAAAGCAATAAGATAATCCATATTAGGATCAACAACAGCTGTGACTTTATCAGAGCCTGAAATTTGAATAAATAGATATTTACAATGACATAGGTTACAGCTTGGTAGCAGAATTTACAAAAGCAATCTGCAGCTCTATTTTCAAAAGAAAAAAAAACTATATGTTGTTAAGATTTAATTTGAATTTTATACAATCATACTTTAGCTTTGCCTAAAAGGAGAAGAAACAAATACTTATACTAAATGGTATAAAAAAATCAGAAAGAAAGGTTTAACCTACAAATGATAATATTAAAATGAAATATTTTTATTTTAAAATAATAAATTAACAGAAGTGTAATTTATGGTTTTCTGATTTGAGCCTATTAGAAGTTTCTTCAAATGAAACTCATTTCTGAAGAAAATATTCATTAAAAAAATATTCTTCAGTCTCTTTTCCTCCTACATAAAAAAAATCCTCCTACTCAAAAATATTCCTGCGATATTCACAAGCATGATAGCTATAAGAATCCAAAAATATGTTAAAAACAAAAATAGAATGAAATTTATTTTAGTAGAAAATCACTACAGCTAAAAAAAAAGGCAGAAACATATCTCAGTAATAACGTAGTAATAACTTTTTGTCAACGTAAATATTAATTATATACTATAATTACTTGAACTCTTTAGAACATTCCAATGCTTGCAAGATAAAGAACAAAATTCATGGATATCACCAGTTCTTCTATTTTTGACTCTGGGTCTTTTACAGCCTTCTCGAGAACAAGTACCTAAAGATACAATAATGAGTGATGAAAAATAAAATTATTTAAACTTTAGTTTTTGTTAAAAAGATTCTGCTCAAGTGTGAGATTTTTATATTGCATTCATAAAAAAGAATACCAGCATAGCACTGAAGTAACAGTTTATCAAACTAAAATTTGTAATATAGTCAGTAGTTAGAAGAGAGAGATAAAGAGAAAGAGAGATTTCAGAATTTTTATTCTTGTTACATTATTTAAGTTAGTACATAAATAGTTCCAAGATTTAGATAGATTTGAGATTATAACTTTTCAGATAGTGTGTAATTTTAAATACCTGTAATACAGTTTATTAACTGGTTTACGAATATTTATGTTCACATCACTAGACATAATATAATCGTAAATTATGAGAGTTCACATGAATTCAAGAATTTACAAGTCAACAAGAAAAGCAAAATTATCTTGGGTTTTTATAATAAATGGCCTTAAAATATTGTGCAGTCACATTTTGCCTAAATTATTTTTTATCTTCACAAATAAACAATAAAAGTCTTTGCAATTCAACCTGTTTAATAAGTTTCATAAGAAAAAATCATTATTTGCCTAAATTAAACTTGAAACAAACATAATTTACCTAAAACAGATGCCAGGACTGAATTAGCAATAACATCTTCATCACTGTCATAATCAGGCCAATCACAAACTGCTGCAACATTTGTGTGTTTACCTTGTCGGTTAATAACCCAGGGATCATTCGGATCAACATTCTCTAACGAATCTAATAATCCATTCATCTGAAAATAATTTGAAAAAGACTTTTAAGTGATCCTTTTGTCTAGACATTGCAAAAATTTATTATATTTAGTCTTACATTTCTTAGACTTAAAATATTAACAACAAATAACCATGAAATTGAAATATAACAACTAAAATCCCTTGATAACTTCAATATATTATTTTCTTTTAAATCTTCTTTTCCCAACTAAATGAACACAACAAAGAATAATTATAATCAACCAATTAGTTATTGATTATAATTATAATCATAATTATAACCAAATATATCGAATTAGTGTAAGTATAATAATTAAGTGTTGATTTAATACAATCAAAGATATAAATTGACCAATGAGAAACAAAATTAACCAGTCGGAAGGGACAAATCAAAATTTTGTTACAAAGTAATATAAACTATTTTAATTTAACTATGATAATCTTCTTATAACGTTAAAACATAAGCAAACATTAAAAAAAGACTTTGCTATTTATTGCCCTTACAGTTAGCACAAAGTGTATAATCTAAAAGAAATCAAAATCTAGAATTTTTGGTAGAATAAAAATAATTCTTGAAATTTCTAGTTAGTTTAAAAACACTACAAAATTATTTAGTATAAAGTTTAGGAGTTTTAGCATTTAATAATTGAAAAAAATAACAGTTAGGTAATTGACTTGTTAAGATGTTTCTTAATTTGGCATAAAGCACATTATAATTATAAATAATATTTGTATTACTAATGATAAATTCTGTGATAAACCCAAATAATATATTTCTGAGCAATTGCAAAATGAGAAGCAGCACTCTTCAAAAAAAAAATAATAATAAATAAGTGTATCAATATTTTAATACAGCTTATGTTCAGTAACTGTAAATATAGAGTGAAGGCAGGAAGTGAACATTTTATATAATCATCTCCACTTAATTGCATGTCGGAAAAACCAAATAACCTTCTAAAATGAATAAAATTTAATGAAACAAAAAATTTTATATGAAACCTCTGCTAAATTTCCTCATTCAAATGATTATTTATGGTTGCCAGTCCTCGCTTAATAAAGAAAAAAAGATGAGAAATAAAAAAAATTTAAGAGTTGTTTTTCCTAGCTAGAATGGAATTTCAGTTAAAACAATGAGAATACAATACAATTGTCACTTCAATAGAAATTTCCTATTTATTTTCTGCTTCAAACAGTTGTCAGAAGGTAGTTAAAGTAATCAAATCTTGTAAGCAGTTTTATAGTGAATGAGGAGTTTTTTGTGACTCTTTGACACACTTCACTCTTATACCATTTAGAATGTGGGTATCTAAGAAATCTCTTCTGAGGGAAATTAGAGCATCATAGTGCATAAATTATACTCTTTGTTAGCATTGATCTATTTTTACATAAATTTTAATGTCATTCATACTTTATGAAATTAACACTGACTGTTCTAATTGTTTATCAATCATTAATATAAGTGAGTTTTATTTCTTTAAAACATTGTTCCATGCATTACACAGCAATTCAAAGTACAATTTCATTTTTAAAAAAAAGGATTTAAGATTTACTAATGCATTCCTCTTACAATCAAATGAAACACTTATTTGAATACAGTTAGCTGAAACCAATAGCATTTATTACTTACATCTTCAACAGGATCCATCCCCATTAGACCAGGTAAACGATTCCTTCTCTTTTTACGTTGGCTAGTTGGTGTTTCAGGAGGTGTCAAACCTTTATGAACTGCATTCAGCAAATCAAGTCTTTTTCTTTTAACAGATGTCGTCATTTGGACGACTTTGGATTGAGGAGTTTGTAGATAGACATGAGTAATTGACTCAGACAGCTTTTCCGTCACCTCTTCCAGTTCTTTCTGATAAACAGATATTTAAAAATGTTTTTATACATCGATAAAATTTAGAAAAAAAATTTAATAGAATAAAACACACTTTACAAATAGTAATATAACATGTTACATATTTTAACCCCATATTAGCATGCATCTGTTGCCAAAATCATTATCACAGAAATTTAACTAATACAATAGAACATCGATCGATTATTCCTTAAAAGATATTTTGTGAACGATAGATATGGGAAAACTATGAATGCAAGTCAATATAAAATACCGAGTAGAAAAAGTATGAATAATAAAAAAAAGTGGATTTGAAAATAAATTTAAAATCAGTATAAAAAATTTTAATTGAAAAGTGTACCTACTTAACGTAAAAATTTTTACAATATAAAATAAATATGAATATACACATTTATTTTTTTTAAACAAATGAAAATTTTGGTTTAAATACACTCATTTATGACATATTTCTGTTCTTTTCCTGTAAATTAGTGTGAATTCAGGAAGTTTTTGTCTCTAAGGCATTCAGACCTTCTGCAAATGTTGGCTCTGGTTGTGGTTCCATTACATCATTTTCATCGTTATCATTTTGATCTTTTTTAGTTTCCGCAACCATTTACTCCACTGGTATTAGACCACAAAGTTCAACATCTTCAACAACATGCATAAACACCAAATGTGATGTTTGAGATGTTTCCTCCAAAGTGTTACAAATTCTCTTTTCTTCTTCATCATTAGTATCAGTAATAACTATTTTCATCGCAAAACAAAATGATTGACTTGTGTTTGGATGCTTATAAGAAAGGTGATCTCCTAAGTAAGGAAAGCGGTTCAACTTATTCTTTTACATAACAGGCTCAGCTTTGTGTATGATTGAGAAAGGGAAAACCTTTTTACATGCTTATGAGCCGGTTTTTGTAAATATCTTGAGCTGTGATGAAACGGCATTATGAGGAAAGTTCGGTTAATAGTTAACTTAGCTTTCGCCACAAAATAAAAAATTTCACTACTTCCAGATTTGTCCATTCCAGATTCTTATTCCTTTAAAAACCTAAAATGAACAAAATTAATTCCGCAACATAAAAAGTTAAGAATTAGTTTTGCTCAATCCCAGCTTTTATTGAGTTCTAAATAAACTCTTTGGTATAATTTAAATTTATGCATATTTAAAGAATTTTTGCTAATGCGGAACTAAATTAAATTTTTTAATAGTGAGCAATGTAAAACAGTTTGTTTAATTTAATTTTTTCAACTAAATTTAATACTTACTTGCAGATATTCAAATATAGTTTTATTATATCCATTATCTTCTAAATAAAAACCATGTACATATGTGCCGCACAAGATACGCCTTGCTCGAAGAAGCTCGTATATTGCGTCTTCTAAAAAGGAAGTGTCTGCTTCGGGTGATGATGTCATAGCTAAGGTTGCCACTAAAATATTCATTTTTTCTTGCATGGGCTTCACAAATGTCTCTTCATACTAAATTTATAACAGCAATAAAAAATTATTAAAAGTTTGTGACTACAATGCTTGAATTAAGAAATATAACAAATATTTTCTTTTATTAATCTTTGAAGAGGATAAAAAATGACTACTTCCCCAGTTAATTAACTTCTATATTATTACTGGCTAGTGAAAACATTAAATAAATATGTTTTCAATTTAAAGTTAAGCTACATTCATATATAAGGTTTTTAAAATTATATATAATTACAGAAATTCAAAACAGAAATGTAAGTGAAAATGATAGGTAAAGTAGTTAATATTTACTCAACTTTCTTTCTTTTTTTTCTTAATTTTGTTGATTTTTATGATTTGTTATTTTCTATCATAACTTTATAATTGGTAATAAAATTACAAGACTATATGACACAAAAAAAACTACTTCCTTTTTTTCAAAAATTTAATAATTGATTATTAAAACAGATATAAAAACCTTTGAAATATAAATACATATGTAAAATGAAGGTTTGTCAAACATTTTGAGAATTTCAATTGCATAAAAATTAGTTATATTCATTCACCATATTTTTCAATCATTAAAGACAACAATAATGGTATTTAATGAAAAACAAAACATAAAAAAATAATAACTTAATAATCCTTTACACAAGGAAAACGTAAATTTTAGTAAAATAATTAACAATGTTTTCAAACATTTTCCAAACCTTACAGAACTCTTATAAATCCATAAACATTAAAAATTATGAAAAATTTATTATCTAGTAAAATAAGTTAATTCTAAAATTTTAAAGAAAAACTTAAGTGAAAAAAAATATAAAATCAATGAATTGTTAAAACTGATTCAAGACACTACAAAAGAATGTAAAAGTACAAATCAGTGCCATTCAATTAATAATATTAAACATTCTAATACTCACTTTGAATTTATTTTCATGATTTTTGAATCTTGTATAATACTGTAAAAATCTTTTAAGCTCCTGCATATGTTTATTATGTTCTTCAGCCTAAAATTAAATTTATCTCAATTAATACAAAATACCACATTTTGCTGTTTAAGGAGACTTCATAACTATATTTATACACATTATTAAAGAAAACTGAAATATTTTAGAAAAATATAAATTGGTATCGATAATTATTTATCAATAATTTTTTTCAGGCTTTTAAAGCAATGATTCAAAATTCTTTCATTTTAAAAAACATTTTAATGAAATTCAATTTACTACAAAAAATATTCCAAAGATATTTTAACAGAATAAAAATTGTGCAAGTAAATTGGAGAACTAACTTAATAGCTATATCATTTTCATTCACAAGGCAATTATTTTATGAAAATTTTATAATTATTAACTACTCTTAAACAAGCAGCATGTACCCAGATCAACAAACACTTGACCAAAAATAGGGTTTCATCAATAATTATTTATTAGGACTTAATTTTTATTAACAAGACTATTTAATTTCCTTTTAAATATATCACTATAAATCTAAAACATAATTCACACAAAATAATTTTTGCACTCATTTAAACAACATACAAAGCAAAATTTTGCAATGGTGTCGCCAAGATTCGTTTAGTCATCCAACAACAGTAAAGGGCAGCATTGATAATTCCAACCTCAAGCTCAAAGTTGTTCCATATTCCAAAACTCTAGGACCAAACTGACAGACTTACTTCAACTTTGTGCACGCACTACGTCAGCACCATCTGCTTGATCATGGTCTAACAATACCCAATGTTGTATGGGTTTCTTTCACATTCAACTACTGTCTTGTTTACATCATTGCTGTTCAATTTCCTGAGGGAAACTAGAGAAAAACTTATTTTCAGACTAGCACTCGTATTTCAGTAACTATTTATCCTATACAACCTTAATTAAAAACACAATGTATAAAAGCTGAAATATTAAGCTTTATATGTTGTGTTCTGTTTTCGAACGCAGCAGTACAATGATACACTTTGTTTTTTGGACTCATTTCATTCTTGTGACTTCTAAGGGAATTTACTATAAAGGGAATTTACTTCATTTATTAGAGCTTCTGTCTTAACTTCTGCACGTTTTACAGCGTCATGTCGATTGCATCTGAAATAGCCACCAGTTCCATAATTGTGTTTTTTCCATGCTTCTAAACACACCCAACAAAATTCATATTTGCACTGAAATAAATATATAAAAATGCTTTGTAAATAATCTGTATAATACCTCATAATGTATGAATAATAACAATAATGAAACTGTATTAAACATTGATCAAGATATGAATAACTGTTTTGAAGTATACATTTTTTAACTTTAAAAAAATAGCAATTGTGAAACTTTATATTACATTAGATTATAAGAGCTTAAAAAATCAAAGCTACAACAATGTCAAACCCAATTTTAAGTTCTGAGTGAAAACATGTTAGTTCTAGAGATGTACTAGATCCAAAAATTTTGTTGGGCCTGGGTACCGGGTGATAATAGGATCATATACCTTGCCAATTCCAGGTACCTAGCTAAAATTTTATTTGCTACCTGAATTTATTACCTGACTGGGTATTATAACATTCAAGTAAAAAAAAATCAAATAGAACAAATATTTTACAAGATATAGCCCCAAGGAAATTTATTACACGCCTATATAAATATAACATGTTTTTATTTTTAGATGAGATTTTAGTACAATCTCTTAAAGATGTTGATACTTGGTGAGAAATTTTATCTTATGGTTAACATGGAACAGAAGATTCATATAGCACTTTTGCAGTCCTTAACGTTCGGGTTCTAAAAAATATTTAAAATGGATAATGCAATGCAATAAGAAAAATTATTTTAACAACCAAAGATGTTACTTTTAAACAGTAAGAACACATAGTAATAATATTATTGAAACTCACTTTAGTACATTTCATGTGGTTACACCCTTCAGTGCGTTGGATAGGACATTTGCAGTTAGGGCACGGCTTAGAGTTTGTAACTAACCACAATGAGTTTTCAGCTTGTTCTGTCTCAACATAAGTATTTTTTACTAAAATGGGCAAAAAAGAAACAAGAATGATGAATTTGTGAAAAAATTTGAAAAATAACATATAAACAAAAATTAGGCGATATAGTTGCATATGAATAAACAATTAAAATAAATACATTAAAAAAATATAGTTAAAAAATTGAACTTTTCACTTCAGGATATACTCTTGATGTGAATTTATCTGAAAATTTGATCTTATATTAAATGTCAATGAGTTTTCAATTTTTCCTGTGTCAACAATCAATTAAATTTAATAATAATAACAATTAAGCAAACTAACTTAAATATTTAATTTTAAATACTTTAGCTAAAAATCTTTAAAAAAAATAACTTCTGATGCATTACCAAGATATTTATAATTTTTTTAAAAAAAGCAATACATTAAATGTTTGAAACAAAATAAATATTTATTAATCAGAAAAACCTGTAAAAAAAATTTCAGCATTAGTTAAATTCCTTTCTTAAATTAATTAATCAAAGAATTTTTTTTTAATTTAGTGGACATAAAATCATTGATTAATAAATTCTCTTCCTAAGAAACATTTCTGATATGTGAAGCACATTCAAATTTTTTTTTAATACATATGTATTTTCTTTTTTTTCTCAACTTTTTACAGCAAATAATGCGCTGTGATTATTCCAAATCACAAGAGATTTGTTTGATTCACAGTCTTTGTTCACAGATTCATTGATTAATCAACATTATTTCTAAGGTATTTCACACCAAATAATCAAAAGCAGAACCTTTTTTTTACATTTAGAGTAACTCCATTATTATCAACATCAAAAGTATTGCACCCACTATAATAGCATGCATTTTTAGTCACTGATATAAGATAATCTCCAACTAATCACTAGTTCAATTATGATAGGGTTGCTTCTTTTAAGATCATTAGAAACAAAACACTTTTTATCCTGCTTGACCTACAATTTTCTGTGAAATTAAAGTTTTGCTAGTTCTGTTAAAAGAATCTGATTACTGAGCAGATTTTTAAAGTTTATTGTTAAAAGTGTTGAGTATAAGATAAATCATAATAAAATGTTGATTATGTAAAATAAGTTAATACACAAACATTTACTTAGGCCCTTCAACCCATTTTGTGACTAAAGCTGCCAGCCTATTTCACAACACTTAGTCCATCTCTGCCTTTCTTAAATCCATTAAATTGTACCTTCTTAAAATCTCTATTTGCCATGTCATTCTAAATCTTCCTCTTTTCCTCCTACCATCAAGAACCCAGGATAGCAAATCATGTATTAGCTCCTCTCTGGGCATTCTTAACACACAACCTACTCATTGCCAACTTCTTTTGCTAATTTTTTTTTCTATTTGTAATTTGTTTGTTGGGTTTACCCTTTCCGAAATTGATTTATTTCTTTTCTTAATAGGGTAAAGAAGATTTTTCTGAACACTAACTTTGTAAAAATTCATGTTTTTGCAAGTCTAATTTTCGCAAGCACCGTGTTTACCATGTTCCAATTACTTCAAACAAACAAAGTTCTACTGCAACTTATAAAAATTTAATTTTAGAAACACTTCAAACTATATTATTGAAGGTTAATGTTAGCCAAACAATAAGACGCTTCCTAAAAACTAAAGGCATGGAGTAAATCTTAGGTGAACCCTATGCTAAATTATTCCTTTAAAGCAGAGTGTAAGAAACTTTTGTAATCAGAAACTTAATATTCTGCATACATATGGTTGAGTTACTGTACAGTAATATTTAAAAATTTTGAAATTATATTTTTGAAAGCAATAGCATAACAGAGAGCAGAGCATGCATTCAAAAATTCTTATTCTTACATTCNAGTATTACCTTTTCTTCTACCATTAAGAACCAAGGATAGCAAATCATGTATTAGTTCCTCTCTGAGCATTAAGACACAACCTACTCATTGCCCACTTCTTTTGCTTATTTTTTATCTATTTGTAAATTGTTTGTTGGGTTTGCCCTTTCCAAAATTGATTGATTTCTTTCCTTAATAGGGTTAAGAAGATTTTTCTGAGACACTAATTTTGTAAAAATTCATGTTTTGCAAGTCTAATTTTCGCAAGCACCATGTTCCAATTACTTCGAGCATACAAAGTTCTACTGCAACTTATAAAAATTTAATTTTAGAAACACTTCAAACTATATTATTGATGGTTAATGTTAGCCAAACAATAAGACGCTTCCTAAAAACTAAAGGAATGGAGTAAATCTTAGGTGAATCCTATGATAAATTATTCTTTTAAAGCAGAGTGTAAGAAACTTTTGTAATCAGAAACTTAATATTCTGCATACGTGGTTATGGTTGAGTAACTGCACAGTAATATTTAAAAAATTTGAAATTATATTCTTGAAAGCAATAGCATAACAGAGAGCAGAGCATGCATTCAAAAATTCTTATTCTTACATTCTTGTGGCTTGATTTCTGCTATTTTATTATGCCATTCCTTCCACTTCTCACAACCACAGGGAGCATGAGCTTCTCCCAAACATTCCCTAAATAACCATAAAATAAACTTTTTACTTGAGAGATGCCATAAGTTTTTAAAAGGAAGTAATAAGTAATTCATTTAATTAATGTTGATTTTTGATCAAATTGCAACATCTTATTCCCCTTTCAACATTTTCAAATTAGTTAAAGTAGTTAAATAGAAAATAAGCACTTACATTAAAGCATTAGAAAATAAGAAGAAAATTCAAGAAATGAACAAAAAGTAATTTTTAAGTACATAACATTTTTATCAATTTTCAGTTTACTTTTTATGTTAGAAAAGAAAATCATATTAATAACATGAAACTTAAAATATGTTACTAGCTTCGATATTCAGTGCATTAATTTAGCATAATTTTTCATTTGCAAAATCACTCTTGTTCTAATAGTCAATAAATATTGTAGAAGCTAAATATCCTGGCCTTTAAGTACCAAAGTTATTTGAGTAATTAATTTTAATGCAGATTAATAAAATCTAAACAGATATTTATATTTCATATAAATTATTTTACAGAAAAATAAAACTACCATTTCAATCAAAGCTGAAGGCAAGGAAAAAAAAAATTTGTAAGGTAAAGGTAATGTTTCCTTAGTGTTATTTTTTGTTATGTTATTTTTATTTTATTTTTTTTTGTTATTGTTTTGTCACTTAACTTAGTATTGATATTTCAATTTAGTTTTGATATTTCATCTTTTCCTAAAAAAAACAATTACGCAGGGAAAACAATTATCATTAATTACCAGCAAAAATAATGTCCATTCCCACAATCTACTGAATGAGATAGTGATGGAGGAGTACTGAACGAAATAGCCAGTAATTCCTCACTAATTTTCTCTGTTTCTGGAAGTTTTACAGCCATAGCGCAGGCAGGGTAGGGGCACCATTTCATAGTTGGATTGCTTTCAACAAATGCCTAAGAAAAATTTTATTATTATTTGCATTACAAAGAAATCTTAAAACCAACAACTATTTACTTTCTAATACTAGGAATGGAAAATGAAATATGAAAAATACCTTAATATCAAATTGTGAGTATCTTTTAATCATCTCCTCAGAAACAATTTTTTCTATGACATCAACAGGAACGATGAAAGGGCATTCAAAGGCTGGACAGAGAATTTTCTGTGTATCACCATCACTTATTTTAATAGTAAGATACCTGTTTAAAATTGGAATCTAGAGTAAATAGGGCATTAAGTAAAAAAGTAATTTTCGTAAGGGCAATAGAATTTTGTTTTCATAATAAAATATTATGAAAATAAATTAATGCCATAACTTTTAATAATATTTAGAGACTTTAGTGGGAGAAGTTTTTAAGGAAAGCTCATATTTTAATCTTGTTTAACAACCAACATTATTTAATTTGTGAAGTCTTTTACTTATTCAGATCTCAGTAGATGAAGTTACTAAGTGAAAATCTTTGAGTGTTTTCTAAGTGGAAAAAGGTATACGGCAACAAAATGAACAGTCGTCGGCAACTAAACATAATTTGCATCAAAAAAAAAAACATTTTATGATAAAAATAAAATGTTACAGATAATACAAAAGTAAGCATCACATTCATTTTTTTATACTTAAAATATTAAACATGTACTATAAAATTTATAAAAACATAATATAAAACAGGAATAGGAACATAATATAAAATGTTTAACAGAAACTGACTATAATAACTTATATTTTGATTGCAGCTTACTCTTTCCAACATTCTTGACAAAACTGGTGTAAACAAGGTACTTGCAAGGTTTCTTCTGTAGACATATCTTTCATGCAAATACCACACTAGAAGAAATAACTCTTTCAGTTCTTTACTACAGTGTATTGTCATTATATGAACTATAAAAACGTTTAATATAATAAATTGTTTAATATGCTATTAAAACAAACCGGTGAAATCTAAAGCAATGAAGATGTATTTTCTGAAATTGTCATATCTTCATATACTTTATCGCTTAAAGGAAACATTTTTATAAAAATTTTCAATCTACGAATTACAAATAATAACATTCAAAAATTTCACAATATAATAGTTTGGAACACTAGAGATTTTTCAGGATAGTTCATTAATTTCACAGAACTCTCTAAAAACTCATTATTTTATCAATATTAGGACTATTTGTTACAATCCCATTCTCTGACTTTTATTCATAAAACTATTAGAAGTAAGCCTTACTTAAATGGTGAGTCAACTCCACATTTTTTCATTTTAAAATACAAGGCCTAAAATTCTACTGAGTATATTGTTTTCACTATTTTGCTTGATTTTTACATTTTCAACGGCAGTTAAAATAAGCTGGAGGTATGTTAATTTTAAAATAAGGCAAATATTATTATCATATAATGTAAGGCTATCTCTTCTTTTTAGAAAAAAAAAACATAGAGTCAACTCATTATTCAAATAAGACCTTTATATTTTAGAGGAGGAAAAATTTTTTGATATGATTGCCACCTAGTCAAATAATTTGGCTTTAAAACTATCTTTGAGGACCTAACAATACTGGTGCATGCTTGCACAACACTACAGCATGTTAGATCAGAGAGTAGATGGTGGTAGTAATCACCCAGCCACCACACCAGGCTCCCCTGCATAGACTTTTCCGGCGCAGAAACAGCTGGGATATTACATAACATTTGATTCAAAACCATTAAGGACACAACTGGGGAAATAGCAGCATGATTAGACACCCAGCTTTTAGAGCAGAGGATTGAACCCCATTCCATAGTAGGCAAAGACTAAACCCACTACATTAACTAGGCTGCATTTTGAAATTTTGACCTATTTTGTTTTGGTGTTGAGTTCTGAGAAAAATATTTGTTCTTATTGGTATATATATTCTCTATTTCATACTAAAAAATCTTAAATACTTATCTTTAGAAACTTAAGTCTTACAAATATTGGTAGAGTCTATTACATGAAAAGATGTCTCCAAAAAGTTACATCAAAAGAGATTATACTAAGTATTACCCTCAATTCTTAAATATTTCAGTTGACGTCAAAATTACATAAATTTTATCAAGGATATTGCTTAACTTGTTAAAAAAAATATACAATAAATAAAAATTTATATACATCCATATACCATACTGAAAAAATTTAATATAAAAGCCTTATCGTAACACGAAAATTACTACCAAAGAAAGGATTAATTTTGTTCCACCAGTAATTTAGATCTAAGTAAAAACTTTATAGTAACATAAAGTATGGAAAATAAATAATAATAATAATAATGAGTACTAAATACCAACAATTGATATTAACCATTATTTCTTCCTTGACAACAACCGTGTGCACAGGGCTATTGAGAGTCTCATTGTGATATTCTTGCTGTATCTGTTCACAGCATGCTTTTAAAGAATCTTGGGTAGCTGAAAAATTCACTGCACTTGATGGAGGTGTTATGCCAACTTTATTGCAGCATGTAACAGGATCTCTCATCCAGGCATCCAGTAAACTCTGCCTTGACCACTCTGTTTGAAATATTAAGGTTAGTTCCTGGAGATTTTTATGAGAGTAAGTGATTTTAAATGTCATTTATATGAGCATTATATCAAGAGTAAAAAATGTTTTCAAAAGGACTAAGCTCATAATTTTAATAGCAAAAAATAAAGATTAAGTATTTAAAAAATAATTAATTTTTGTAGAATTCTCCATTTAAAATTGCTTTAAAATTGCTAACATTAAAAATATAAATTTAGTACTTGTATTTTATAATTGATATAAAGATCCAGTATTAAAAAATATATATATCAAATTCCTTGAGTATAGATCAAGATATTTGAAATTGTTTTAACAGTATAATAATTATTATGTAAATGTGAATACTTTTCTACAATTTTCTCACACCCATGGTGCTACATGGGGCTTTTATATAATGTGTATAAAATGAAAGGACAGACACACAAATACCCCTTTTTTTAAAATACCACTTAGAAACAAAGGATCATAGAATGCTATCTGTAGTTGCTAGAAGGAGTAGTAAAATATAATTAATGTACAGGGACAATAAATAAGACTTACTCTAGGTTTTTATTTTTATTGCATTTCCACTCATGTTACACATTTACGACAGACTGTTGTGGAAGCAGGATATTTTTCAGATATATCAGGATGTTAGAGAAGGTCTACACATTACACAACCATGGCGAAGTACCACCATTTTCAAGGCTCTATCTTTTAATGACCCTGACAGAAGTTCCATGAAACTTTGACCATGGACAGACAATGTAGACAGTGCATGAGCTGGTACCCCTCTCTCCAAATACACCACAACCAACAAAAGATTTAACATGCACCTTGCTGCCTATATAAACACCTGTTGTTTTGTTGGTTACCAGGATGAAACTCAGAACCCTCAGCTCTCCAACGAGCAGTTTGAGCAACGCCTTAATTGACTGTGCTCTCGGAGTTCCCATTTGAGAAGGTCCATTCAGCATAAAGTGTCTCCATCTCTTTGGTCAAAACTTTAAGCATCTGTGAAGTAATATTAATCATGAATGTGAAACATGTGGGAGGAGTGGAAAAAACAGTAAAAATTAAATAACCTGGAAGACTTTAGTTAATAGTTCTTATATATTGCAAATAATTTGCATACTCCTTAGCAGCTTGTTACTGCATGTTCTTATGTGACTTATTCCTTCTTTTTATATGCCTACTTTACCCTTTAATTTTTGACCCTTATTTTTAAGCTCCATATATGGTGGTCCATATTAATGTAGTATATATATATAAATTCACACAATTCTTTTATTAAAACAATTTATGGATTTTAAGAACCAGTATAAGAATGGATTTGTATAAATATTAAATGCAAGCCTCACAATTAAAGACTGAATCCATTTATCTCACTAGATGAAAATAAAACTTTTAAGTTTATAGCACACTTATTTTATTGAATATCAATGTGAATACAATAGAAATTGATGACTAAGTATGTGAAAAAGAGTGTGTTGTAAATAAGTCCTATAAACAATGAGAATTGAAGTGAACGAAAGAGTGGAAAGTTTAATACCAAGAGAGGAAAAAAAGTTACATAAATTAAATATATAGAGTGCTACAAAAAAAAAGGAAAAGACACTGTGAATGCACTGTATGTGTGTGCAGACTTTCTGTGTAAACTATCATTTTCAAATCGAATTGCTCTACTACGAGTTCCTCAAATCCAAATATAATGTAACTTTTTAAAACTCAGTATGCATGATTTTAAAACAAACAAAATTTGAAGTATACCATAATTTCGAAGTAGCACTTCAGCTGTGAACAATGGAACATGAAGCATATCACTGGTTTCTACTAAAAGTTGATCTTTGGCTTCGAGTAAATCTTGAGCTCTCAATCCACTTGTGATCTGAAAAATAGTACATCTAAGCGGTTTGCAATCAAGTGGTGATAAAATATTAAAAAAATAGAAAAAATTCTTTTTAAAAAAAAAATAGAAAATTTAACAAAAATCTGAAGAAGAAAAAATCTCAAAAGTTTGAGATTTCATTACAAAGAAAGCAGCCAAATTTTAGTCAGGTACCTGGAATCAGAAACCTTCCAGCATAGCTGCTGCAGATTATTTTAAATAAACAAATTGTGATAAATTTTTATGTTACTTGATTATAGTCTTAATGGTATAGGAATTAATTCCAATTTTTTAGTATCAGTTTAAAAATTCAAGAGAAATTTGAAAAACAAAGTTTTTATTTATTAAGACCTTATACTTGGAAATTTCGTTACATATAGATTATATTAAGCTAAATTTATACAATAATCACTGTATAACTGTGTTGAGGTTGCAGACAAATCTGGATTTACGAAGATAGTATTACAGGTTCCCTCCATAAATTCAGCTACCAAGAGCAGATATAATAAATAATTAATATATGATTATATAAACATTAATTTTTATGCAAGTCAAATGTTTTAAGAAATTATGGGTAATAAGATATGAAAATATCTTTTAAATCATCATTTTATAATATACAGCTTTTAGTAGTGATTGCTTTCATCGCATTAGCTATTTAACTTATAAGGTTTGCAGTTTGCTGCAATATAAAAAAGCAATTAAAGACATATTTTTAAAAAAGTCAAAACTTTAAAAAAATTTATCTCAATAATACAATATATCAATTAATCTAATAAATAAGTGCAACGCTTTCATTGAAAATAACAAGGCAATATAATATTTAAAAAAGTTAAATCAACTATATAAAATACAGCATACCAAACTATAACATATAGTTTTACTCAGTAACATTAAAAAAATTAATTATAAATATAGCTTATTTTAATATAATAGTTGATATGATTGGATAATTTAAATCTAATAAATTAAATCCTTTAATTTTACTAACTTCTTCCTCAGCTTCTTCTGTAGATAGTGATTCCTTTAACACAGTTGTATCAAGCTAAAAATATAAAGTAGGAAATATGATTTAACAAAATGACACTTTATAAGTCTTTTATTATAAAATAAGAGATTATAAAATAATGTCTTACAAAAAAAATCATTTTAGCTTCAAGAAACTGAGCAATATCTTCATGCTTATTCTTTGCTGCCAAATCACAAGCAGTTTCTGATGATTTGTTCTCAACAAACAGGTTGGCACCATGAGAAACAAGTAACTAATAAGGAAAAATATTAAAAAAATATTACAAACGAGATATTAAAACTAGATTACTCATCAGACAAGCGATTAGCAAAAATAAAAAGTTTATAAAAGTAGGAACTCAAATTTTTGACAAGTTATAAAATACCTATTCTATCATTTGATTCTGGTAAATATTAAAACAATAATTTTTAGAATAATTTATATTATTTTAAAAAAAGCAGAGAGAGAGAAATGGTTGTCTTATTTTTAAAAAAAAATGTATAATCTTGATTTATCTCGATTTATATTTCTGGATAGTTGTGCTACTATACACACATAGCATATTAAGTTTCAGTTAACAAATGTTTTTTTAGAAGTAATTTTAAGCAAATAGTTGAAACTGGAAGAAAACTTACTCATTGCAGGGTAATATTTGTTTCAGAATAATATTTATTTTTTAAATTTTAACATATTAACTTTTTGAATTAGATTAATGTACCTGATTTCGATATATACATCTTAACATACTTAAAAATTTTGATACATGAAAAAAAATCAATCACCATTTGAATAACATGCTAGCTAAAGCAATAATTGATAACAGTAAACACACACCAACCAAACAGCACGAGAATAGACCATATAGAATAACCCAGTAGCTTTAATCAGAAGAAAGAGTGCAAGGCTCACTGCCGAAGAAATCATCATCCATAAATCCAAAATACTCCCCAAAAGTGATTAACTCATTAAAAAAAAGATTAACTGTCAAATCTCCAATAAAGTGATTCAAAAATTTATGAACCAGCATGCTTACATTTTTATGGACATAGAATGAATAAAAAAAGTAACATGAGATACAAACAATTTAATCACCAAGTTGAGTTTGCAAATAAAAATGTATACATAATTATATTTGTGCTTATGAAATTGAATTTGACTAAAAATATTGTTTTAACTCGGAAAACTTTTTATTGCATTTAAACTCTTATTATCATCCAGTTGAATTGAAGAAGTTTTTTTTAAATGTTAAACTATCAACATACAAAATAAAATGATATATCAACTGAATACCTTTGCTGCAAATCCCTAAAATTAAATTCAAAATGCACTCCCATTATTACATCACTACTAAGTAGGTGTCGTACAGAAAAAATAAAGAAATTGTAGCTACAGTATGTGTGCAAACATAGTAACCCATAATTTTCAATTTAAATGAAATTTTTAAAACTTTTTTAAATAAATTAGGTCAAAAATATTTTATTTATTCACCTTCACAGAATAATTAAATACTCAGAGATAAAAACTAAATATTTATATTCATGTCTACAAACTTCTCTTAACCTTCTTAACTTTTTCAAAGTCACATTTCTATCCACATTTTTCTCCACATAGAAAAAAGTTTTTCTATAACATCATAAATAGAAATGGTGTATAGAGAAGACTGATTCTCCCAAATCAAGAGCTGTGATTTATGTTTTGCTACAAGGCTTTTGATAAATATGGATATTCTGGTGATATTATTAAAAATAAACAGCTCTCACTTGTTAAACTATTATTATTCTAGTTAACCTATCATTGTATATCCATTGCTAGTTAAACTATTATCGCAAATAATTTTGTTTTGTAAGAGAAATTTGCAACAACAAAAAATTACTTTAATAATTGAATATCAAATTATGCATACATGCCAACATAATGAAACAAAAACTTTCAATAGCATTTAATACAAATTAGCAGACAAACGATTCTACAGAAAAATGGAAATAAGTAGCTCTCTAAGCATAAACTGATCTGATGGGACTGTGATTGTTTATATGACTTTCTTCCTTTTTTGTTGAGCCTCAGAGGCTTAAGAAAAGATTTTGGAAATGAAAAACAGTTTTACAATTAATAGATATGCAAATAAAATTTTGATCTAATGAAGAAAAACAAAATAAATTAATACTTCAACACATTTCATTAAGCCAGATGCTGCTGCAAAGTGAAGAGCTGTGTTACCCTCCTGCAAAGCAATATCAAATATTTAATGACAAAGCAATAAAAACATAATTAGCAAAATACACAGCAAAAAAATATAAGCCATAATTTATAAATATTCAAACTTTAATTTAATATTTTATTTTTATAATCGGCATAGAACAGCCTACCAATGTTCAACCCCGTAGCCTTGTAATTTTGAACCTAATCCAGAAGACAAGGGAACTCCCGGATCAAGTATTGGGGGAATTTATCTTCGTGGAGGACTTTTTGATTGAATTAACCCACATTTGCCTTACATAGAGAGGAAAACCACAAAAACCTCTCATGATCAGCCTGACAGTAAAAGGACTCTAACTCATGATCCGTCTATCACTGAGGATATTTTACGTCAGCACTGTGGTCGGTGCAAGATGGGTGCAGAATTCATATCAACCAGCCATCACTAGGATTCGAACCTGGTTCACCTCATTGGAATGGGAACTCTCTATCCCCTGGGCCACCATGACTTTTAATTTCATATTTGCTTTAAATCACAAAAAATTAATACATAGCTAAGCAAATTTTCTGATTTTTCAAACTAATCAAACAGCTTTCTTATATATTTATGGTATATGTTTGAGAGATTGTAAAAGTAGTGCTACTTATAACAATAAAGAAAACAGTTCTATAGTTACTTTCTGTGCACTAACAAATAATGCACAGGATTTGCTTCCCTTTGCAGAAAGAAAAATCAGGAATAATACAAATTCATCATCAAAAGTTAAATTACTTACACTGCACTGCATAAAATTTAAAAATAGATAAGTAAGTCAATAAGGTGCATTCTAAAAGTACTTAATCTTATAAACTTTAGGGAAAATATTTCTTTGTTGTGTAAATTGTATGTCATTTGATGCTATACATCAATTAGTTTATGTGTTTTCATATAATTATCAATTTAGTTAGTAAGTTAGTAGTTATTGGTGCAAGAGCCAGTTGTGGCTATATCGCAATTTCTTTATTCATTTTTTTAGAATAAAATTAGAATTTAGAATTTTCAATTTAGAATAACAATAATAAGAATACAGAACACCCTTAGAGATATAGCAATAACAAATAGAAGTATTGTTTATGTGATAAACAAAAATCTTACATTATCCAAACAGTCTAGAGAAAGTTTATCCTCAGAAGATACAAATGCAAGATAAGATAATTGCAACATAAGATTAAGACATATTGCTCTACGTTCTTTTCTTTCACTCCTAGGTGAATCTCCCTGGCAAACTAAATGCAATGCACTCTCCCCTGAAGCATTTTGCTTATTAGGATTGCCTTGGAGTTTAGTCAAGAATATCCTAAAATAGAAGAAAGTATGCTAAGATTAATTAATTAAAAAAATAGCACTCAGTGAAAATATTATTTTTTAAACTAAAAGCAATTGTGACTAGTAGCAAGTATTAACAGTAAGTATTAAAACCTGTATCATGACATTTTGCTGCTGGAAACAACTAAGTTACACAAAATTATATGAATATACGATGAATAACAAAGTTCAATTATGGAATTTAAGCTTCAACATTCAAATATCCAAAATACACAATTTAAAAATTTAAAATTTTTTTTTTAAAGATTTTTAAAACAAAAAAAGTGAAGAGATTTTTTAAAGCAGTATGTATTAGAACCATCTGAAATTGCAGAAGAGCCAAGCCAAACAGCTCAGTTCTTGTACTTAGAATAAATTTTAAAAAATTCACTTATTTGATACCCTGAAGAAGTAAGGAGTTTTACCCTTTGATTGCCTGATTTTGTAATGACTTTTTAATTTTTTACATGTCGCTCACTGGTTCATCATATTAATGCAGGTAACCAGGGTTGGCAGGTTTTTGACATGTGACAGTTTTTGACAGTTTAAACCATGNCCACTTTTTGCCGTCAAAAACCCAACCCTGCAGGTAACCAAACCAGAATTTTCCCCAAAAATTTATTTCTAAGTTAAAATAGCAATTTACATAAATGACTTAGATATTGCATAAGTAACAAACCGTAATAAAGGTTTCATAGCATGATAAGCAGCCAAATGCAATGGAGTGTTATGCTTCAGAGTATCACCATATGAAGAATTTGGATCAAGATTATGTTGTAATTCAAACGAATGTTGAAATACTTGAAGAGCAGCATATTCATCTCCATTTTGTAAATATTTTCTAAATTTACTAGAGGAGCTCCCCATCTTTGAAATTCATTAAAGACCCTGTAAAAAAAATTTAAAAAAATGTCACTTCAAAAATATCTTGATGTATTTTCATCACAAATAAATGTATAATTATTAGATTTTAGTAATTACTTAAGAGATATATCTAAGGAAAATTAAATGTAAAAAAAAAAAGGAATAATAACTTATTTAAAATGCACATAGCATGCATATTATTAACTTTTATACATTTATTAAAGTTATAAGTTTTTATTACTTCAATTATTATTTTCACCAATAAATATAATGCTTCAAAATAAGTAACTTTTGTATCAAATTATTTTCGCACAATAATGAGTATATATGAGAGAGACATGAATAACTGCGTATCGATTTATCTCTATAAAAAACTATTTTTAACATGCTGAATGCAACTAACTTTACCTTACTTTCCCATCAAATTTTCTTTACACATAAAGTTTTTTCAAAAAAAAAAAACAATACTTTAAATTATGTTCAGAAAAATAATTAAGAATAAGGAAAGTTAAGACAATTTACTCAAGAGTATTTCAAAAAATATTACGCAATAAAATATACCATAAAACTACAAATTTAAAAAATCTAGAACATCATCTGTGTTGGATTCAATAGCGTTAGCAGTGTCATCATACAGATCCCTCTTCCTGCCAAACAGATTTTACATCATCCTCATGTGCTCTTTACCATAAAAAATCATCTTCACCCCCATCCAAAGAATTTGAAACTCCATACTTTTTAAAAAATTTTACAACATTTGAATTCATTCTAATGTCATTTGACACATATAAAACATTTGACTAAATCAGCAGCATGGAAATTTCATGTTTTCGCAAGCGTCTTTGATGTGAAATATTATTTACTTGACACATTTTTGCAGACTAAATAAATTTTTTTTTTGGAAATTTTTATATAAATTTATATCACATTGTGTTACTAAGAGTTTACAAAAAAAAAAGATTCAATGCAGAATGAATTTTCTATTATTTTAACTTTTTAATATTAATTTAATTGCATAAAATTACTCTTCTTGAGTTTTCAAAATAAAAGCATAAACAGTGGTGTAGTTTTGGGGAGAGTTTGGGGGTCACCCCCTCCAAAATTAAACATTACTTGATTAATGAACTATTGTACCGTAAGTAGGATGAAGGTATAAAAGTTTTCATTATTAATTTGATGTAATTTAAACATTCATAATTATATATATATACATATATGGATAGACAGCCGATAACCCCCCTTGAATGTACATTAAAACTACGCTGCTGAGCATAAATGATGAAATTTCTTGAAATCTTTGAATATTTACAAAACTACAATTTATGTATAAAAAAAATCAGTATGTTTTTTTACTATAAAAATCTCTGATAACTTACAAGGAATAGAAGAAATAGGTCACCAAGTTTTGGAAAACACTGTGTCATGGTACATGAGAAACTAGAAAAAAAACATCAGAGTATAGGCAAACTCCCAGCCAATATACATTTTTAAATTTATTGCAAGAACTATGGTCTGGTTATGACACGTTAAGGATTCCAGTTGACTTGAAATGGTAATATTCTCACATGGAATTAATTTTCCAACAGGAAATTTCTTTCTAGTAAAATTTGAAATAATCATGATGAGTTTTGGTGAGAACACTAGTGGAAAGCAATTCAAGTAATAATAAAGAATCTGTAATAATTTTTAACCAAAATATTTCTGTTATAATAATTTTTTAAGCTCTTGATAAGATGTACGAAAAAGATTTTTGTATCTGTATCTATGCTAATTTTCTGTAATGTCTATGCAGTGACCAGTAAAAAACTAAAGAAAACATCCCACAAGGAGAAAAACTTAAATAAATACATAGCCAACCAAGGCCATACCTCACTATATTTTTTTTTAATTTCTTGTAAGTTTAAACTCCCTTTGGTGCCTCGGAGATTGTAGTTGGGCAGGACATGCCTTCAATAAACCACACAAGCTTAAGAACATGCAAGACAATGCAATACAAAAATTTAGTTTTTGCGGAAAATCAACTCGCTGTGAGAGTTTAAATTAATGTAAAAATTTTTATTGCCTATTTATTAGATAAAAACATCAATCTATGGTGATATAAATACTATATATATTTTTAAAAATAAGTCATATTAATGTTACAACTTTTATTCCCTTACAAAAAATAACATCTATTTTATTTTGTTTTACAAAGATATAAATTTTATAGTGTATACACAATTTAAATTCGTATCAATTAAAAACAAACAATTTAAATTCGTATCAAATGAAAACAAATGTAATGATACGAAATCCTTAGCTTAAAATTCACAAAATAAAATAAGAAAGAAAAAAAAAAAATTTTTAAGGCAAAATTGCAATCTACTCAAAATAGTAATAATAAGGGGGGGGGAGAGAATTCAAATAGTGTCAACATATTAATCGAAAATACAGATTTACTACTTTTGTTTATATACAATTTTTATTAGTTTTGTTTATAAACGATTTCGTTTATAAACTACCTTTAATCTTTTGTTTCACATTGCTTTGTTTGGAAGACAAACCAAATCACATAATAGCAAAAAGCAAAATAAAACTCAAAAAAGCTTTCCAACATTCGTGAATAAATAATTTTAATAATTAACTTTATGCCAAACTAAAGAATTACTTTTTTATTTTATCAAAATAGTTCGGATTCTCTTCGGGATTAATTCCGAAACTAAACAGTCAAACAAAGATTTTCCCGCATAACAGTTGACGTTAACTCGTGACAATAAATACAAGAAATCAGATAATCGTGATTAATGTCTGTGAAAGCAATATTGGTGAATGTAATTTTTTTTCAGCCATTGGCTATAAATTTGTTAATTAGTTAACCAAAATTAAGAATTAATTTAAAATTCCTTCCTCAGCCATTCTGATATTAGCAAGCTATAAGCTAGTATCACCTCCTAATTAATAAAAAAAAATTATCCATCACCATCAATCAAAATCCGACCAACTTGTCCATGTTGTGTTCTAAAATATTTTACATATGAAATTTAAAACATTATATCCTTGTATTAATTATTACTGAAGACCTATCTATCGTTTTATATTTCAAACATGTTAGATTTTACTAACAAAAAAATTTTAGCACCTATGGTTCGTGTTGGAACTTTGCCTATGCGTTTGTTGGCTCTAGAATGTGGAGCAGATATAGTTTATACTGAAGTATGCTATTATTTGGAAATTTGCATTAAATGAAATTGTGTAATTTTTATGCAATATGATTAAGAGTCATAATAAATTACTCAAAATAAGTTGAAAATATTGACGATTTTCACATCTGATTAAAATGATTATTTATATTGTGACATTTGTTATTCAACAATGCAATAGTAGGTATTTTATAAAACCCTGTTGTAAGATTGGGGGGATAATAATGATATAAAAAATTTGATTTTCTTTTTTGCAGAAACTTCTTTTCTATTTTTGTATGTAGTTATGACTATTTATTTCCACATAGCTTATAGCATTTGATATTTTTAATGCAATAATATTTGTTACAACTGAATCTCGAAATGAAAAACACAAATTTAGTAACCCGTTTTTGAAGAGTCCAATTCGTATGATTTCACCGTCTATTTTATTTTCAGTAGTTACTGCTACGGATTTCATGATTTTTTTATTATTTCTTTTAATGTGATGACAATTTACAAATTGGAAAGGAGAACAGAAAGGAAATAATTAGTGTGTTACAAAAGGCAAAAATATTGTCCATAATACTTGAATTAAAAAAATTATTTTTATTCAAACTGAAATTTTTTTTCTTCGAAGTTGACGCTTTTGTTACTTTAAACTAGTAACATGTATATTTGTTATTTTTAAAAATATCTTGCAGAAAAATATTAGTATTAAAGAGGTATGTCGCAGAAAGAAGTTTCATTAAAAATATTTTTTTTTATCAACTAGTTTGTTTTTTTATCCATGACAGCTGTCCAAGATAAGTTACTTTGGCATTCTGTTTGTCATATTAATGCTTTTAAATTCTTATTAATTATGTATGATTATTTTAGTAAGAAATTATGAACTATATCATGTTTTTCAGGAAATTATTGATTACAGACTTTTGAAGTGTAAAAGAGTTGAAAATAGTAGGTATTAAACTCAAGATTATTTCTTTTTAAAGGTCTATATTTGTGTGTTTTTCTGTTATCAGGGGTCTGTCCAGAGTAAAATTACTACCGTTTAGCGGTGCCGTCACAAATTCTTTAGGAGAAACGATAGTTTCAAAAAATTCTTTTAAAAAGCAAGTTTGCCTGCAAACCCCATTCTCATTGCAGTCTATTGAAAAGAGCATTTCTGCAAGCTGTCTGTTACAAAAAGGTAGCACATGTTTGGTCAGATAGTGCAATGTGGTAAGCCTAACTGGTCGCGTATGCCATATCAAAGCAAGCTTGTTTCTCGCTGAGTATTTTATAAATTAAATGACGAGCCCTCCATGAACTTTAGAGGAAGTCAAAATTCGAACATTATCTTAAACATCATTGTAAATTATTCTAATATACCTTTATTTCTTATCAAACATTTTTTTTCTCTGTAAAACTTTTTTTTGTGTGAACTAGTCGAAAATGTTCTCATAATGAAAATAACTTTTAGTGGTAGTAGTGTTAAATGCATGTTTTCTCTAAATTCAAATTAAAATTTAATTATGGACAATGATTTTCATGGATATAATTTCTAAATTTTCACAAAATTTTTGCCTCTCAAAAAAACTTAAGACAGGCCCCTGGTCATACAGTGAATGTTTTCTTTCTCGCTAACAAAGAGTAAAATAAAAACAATAAAAAACATTTTTGGGGATGATCTTATGCTGAAAAAATACTGTTTTTATCTGCTCTAAAATTCCTGGAGCAAGTATAGGGAAACTTTAGATAAATGGATGCATTTTTTTAATGATTTTACTCAATATTTTTAGTAAAGATATTTTAAAGAATATAAAATCTTAAATTTCTTGTATTTTATAATCTTTAATAGTTTTGAAGATGTTTGTGTTTTCATTTTGTATTTATCTTTCTAACTCAATAATAATATAAATTGTGTTAATTATAGGGCAAAATTAATGGTTACCCCAGGGCGATTAAAAATTTGCGTGCCAATCGCCACTTTTTTAACTGAAAATGCATCCCATGTGGATTACTTATTATTTTAATAAATTGGAAATTATAATGAATATTTTATAATATTCGTAAAATTACTTAATTTCATGTTTGATTTTTATTCCTTGTTCTTTTTTTTTTCTGATTATAAAAAGAATTTTGTTGTGCTTACCACATTTTTAAAAATGCTTAGAAAGAAATTCCTTACATTATTAATATCAATAGCTTTTTTTAATCCAATTTTTTATTTTTTTTCTTCAAAATTTTTCAATTTTTTTAAAAAGTGCCCACTTAATAACACTGCAACCGGGCATTGCCCCATAGCAAAATTTCCTTATTTGACCTTTAGTTTTAATGCTATTAAATATCAATTCTGTTGATCCTTTTAAATCTCTAACATAAATTGCTGGTTATTTTAGAAAATATATCTATATTTTGGAGGTGAGTAGTCTTGTATAAAATAGAAAACATTTGGTACTTTAATTAAGAAACAAAATTTTATTTGTACTTGTAACCAGAACTGGAATAAATCAGCATTTTAGAATTAATGATTATTATTTTTTTTTCCAACAAAGTTTAACTAATAGCAAACAGGAACAAAAATAACCAGCCTTAGATGCATCTTTGGTGAACTTACTGCTATGAGTAAAAACTCACTCTCCTTAAAGTGTTAAAGCTGAATAAAATTTCCCCAAACTTTACTTCAACTATTTCTTTAAATTTTAAGCTGGAAATTTTTTTTCTAATTAATGTTAAATAGAAGTATATCAAATTTTCTTTTCTCTTACTTAGTAATCATAGTTTTCAAAATTTATGACCACTTCTTATTTACATTAATTTTCTCTCCTTGGGAACCTTGCAAATCAAAGTATGCAATTCAAGCTTGCCCAAAAAAATTGCTAACTTTCCAGAAAAGGCTGTGATGTACTTGTCAGGTGCACCAAAATGAAAATGCAAAATTATGACTCTTAAAGTTAGTAATAGTCACAATAAATATAAACTTTTAGCATGAAAAAGTACAGAATACACGGATGTAAAAAATCCAGTGACTGAAGGACGTAAAATTAATATAATACTATAGCATGTTAGACAAATTCAAACATATCTACTGAGTAATATTGGAATATTTTTTTCGCAGTGTTCTGTTTATCATGCAGTGTTCGTTTTTTTTAATGATTTATTATTAATAAATGCATTTATATATATTAATTGTCTGAAGGTATATTATTTTTACTCTATAGAACTCTTAAATACTGTGGATTTTATTGATGAAGATCAAAATGTTGTATTTCGAACTTGCGAAAAAGAAAAAAAGAGCCTTGTTTTGCAATTGGTGAGTGATATTGCTTGTATTCATGCAAAAAAAAATTTTTATTTTATTTAACACCTTAAAACTTTAGGAATGATTTTATTTTTTTATCTCTTTTAACCCTTTGCTTATGGTATGTAGCATAGTGAACACTTTCATTCTAGTCCACTTGTACTAGCCCTAAGCAAAAGGTTAATATGACACTTCTGTATTTTTAGTTTGCGTATAATTTTTATTTAGTTTTTAGCATGCAGTAATATATGTACTTTTAGTGGTTTGAACTTATTCATTACTTGACAAATAAATGGCATGTATTTATCTGCATAGGTTTAAGAGAACTATGCAATTTTAAAATTTACTATAAAACCTAATATTGTTTACAAATAATGAAGCATGTTTTTTTCTGAAGCATTAATTAAAGTTAAAATCAAAAAGAAAAAGCTAAATTAAAGTATACAGTACAGAACCCGTTATCCGGAAATCGGAAAACCAAAAAACCGGAACAAAATTCGATAAATTTTCTCGCCATTTTTAAGAGAAAAAAATTTTTTTCCTTGTAAGATTTTACGATTTTTCTTTCTTTTTTTAAATTTTAGAAATAATTATTAGTGTATTACTTCATCGTTTTTTCTTATTTTTAAGATTATTTCCAAATTATTTTTTTTTTAGTTGGGTTTAACAATAAAAAAAACCGGCTTTTTGTAGCGATTCAGAAAACCGAAAAAATCAGTTGTCCGGAATAGCGATGGTCCCGACCGTTCCGGATAATTGGTTCCCTACTGTAGTATAAGTTTTTTGATAATGATAGTTAAAAATAAGAATTTTCATAGAGAGAAATCTTATTACAATGATAAAATATTTTTAAATATAGAATTACATTGACAAAATTGAAAAGAATCAAATCATGTAACATTATATTACTTTATAATTATTAATCTATTGTCCTTTGTATAGGGTACTGCCTCTCCAGAAAGAGCTTTAAAGGCAGCAAAAATGGTGTAAGTATTATTTTTTTCACATTAGTAATTATTTAGTTTATTTTATACAGTGCAAAGTCCCATATCTGGACGACTGTTAACTAGAATGGTCTCTTTTCTAAACAATTTTTTAATAATCAAAATAAACAAAACTCTTTTCCCTTTTCAAAAAAAAAAATTTATTTTTTGCACTTGACACCTGTTAAAAAAAAGCATGCAGGAATGAGAAACCTCCGGCTTTTCCGCTTCCTTGTGATTTTTATCATGGAATGTCACACTTAACCTGCTCATCTACAGATGAAGTTCTATGGAGACTGTACAGTATCAGGATGAAGTCCTAGACTCACTCTAAAATTGTGTGCTACAGCAATTGATCCTACTTTCATTTTAATGGATGACAACGTCCGTCCTCAAGGAGCAGCCATTGTCAATGACTATTTGGAGATTGAGCATATGGAGTGGCTGGCTTACTCACTGAATCTTAATCCAGTTTTCCAGCTGTCTGTACTCATTTCCCCCTTCCAGCTTTTTTCAGAGGTTTGTAAACTATTCTAATAGTGGATGTGCAATCACTGGACTCTGAGGTGGTTGACCACCTTGTAACATGCATGATCACATGCTGTGCTCTCTGTGTAAAAATTAGAAATGCTCTGATACCCTATTGATGATTTTTTTCTTCTAAATTTGAACTGAAATTTTTTAATGATGTTGTGTTCTTAGCATGTATTTGAGACATTAATTAATGTTGTTTTTATCTTTGTACATTTTTCTTCGTTTTGTTTCACAAATCAACATATTTGCTATTTTCCTGCATTTTTACTTAAGTGGTACTTGTCTGTTTTTTTTCACATTTTACTACTCCGTGCTTAACTTTTGAAAGTAAGTGTATTAACTTTACACTTTATCTGAAAAAGTTTTGATTTAATTTTTAGTAAACTGGGAATATTTTAAAGAATACATAAGTAACAATTGTTTTAGCCCAGTTTTGGGAAAAGGAATTATGCTTGCAAAATTATAAATTATTTATAATTTTTTTTTTCTCTTGTGAAGCTTATGAAAAAAACTTGTTTCAATATTTAATTTTTTTTAAACAAAGAATGAACGTTTCTCTTTTCTGATTTTTTTTTTTTTTTATGTATATAAGTAACAATTATTTTGATACAGATTTTTTTACGGAGAATTATGTTTCTCTATTCTTTTCTTCCTTTTTTTTCACTTGTAAAGCATATTATCTGCAACTGAAATGGTGCTCTTGTATTCATATTCTTTTTCTTTACTTTAGGGAAAAAGAAGTCTCTGCTATTGATGTTAACATGGGTTGTCCTAAAGAATTTTCAATAAAAGTATGTTTCCTTTTTCTGTAGAAAGAATCTATACTGTTATTACATTAATGTTATCAAGTGATGCATTGATAGATCAAGTATTGGGTACAATAGGAAAAATACTAAAATAACAACTGATTCTTTATAGGGAGGTATGGGTGCTGCATTGTTGACCAAACCAGATAAAGTAAAAGCAATATTATCTACTTTGACCGAAGGTCTGTCTTGTCCAGTTACTTGTAAAATTAGAATTTTGCCTGAGGTTAGTAAATGATGCTTTCTTCCACTTTCTTTTTTTAAATAATTTTGTTTATTAATCCAGCTATGAACTCATTTAAATAATATACACTAAATTAGTGCAGATCATTTTAAAAGGATGCTGTATAGTGAATAATTTTTTTGTGGTAAATTCAGTTTCACCTTTGCTGTCATTTTAAAGCTTAGAGGAAAGTGAGTTCAGATAAACCTAGATTGCATAATTTAGTTTCAAAAAAAAATTTTTAAAAATAGCAAAATGCAAACAAATTATAGCCTGATAACTTACTCATAATTTGTTTACCTTTTGATTTTTTAGAAAAACTTTTCCTATATTTACAATATTTATCTTTCCTATATTTATCTTGATTTTCCTGATACAAAATATTGTGTCCTTATTTATATCATTATTTGTGCTTTAATTGCCCTGATTTTTTTTTTTCTTTGTTCTGATGTTCCTGAATTTTAAATATGTTCTGAATGTCCCGAATTCTTCTAATACAAGTGTTGGTTTTAATAATAGATTTTAAGAATTAAAAGATTTGGATTTTAAATAAAATAAAAGTAAAAAATTTTATTATTAATTCTAATAATAATTGCGGAGTTTTAAATTTTTTCACTTTGCTTGATCTTGTTTTAGACTTTTGCTCATCTTATAAAAAAGAAACTCAGTATTTTTGCTGTTAATGTTTTTTTTTTTTTTTAATATGTCTATTTGCTAATTATAAAGTGGTGTTAAAACATATTTGAGTAAACGTATTTAATTTTAATACTTTTCATTTCATTTACTGCAAAATCAACAGTTTTTTAAAATTTCCATTTGCTTTAACTAATGGTTTAATTTCTTTGTTTTTCCTTTTTATTTTGATGATTTTTTGTTTTCATATTATGATGTACAACATTTTCTTATCATTTGTTAATTAATTTTGTATGCATTTATTATTTAATAAGCAAATTATATACAATTTTGTTTTGAAATAATTTATTATTACATGAAAATATCTATAATTATCAATTTTCTTTTTTAACTTATTTCAATCTATCTTTATGTTGAGTAATCTATTTCTGAAGTCAAGAAAATTGAAATTCTGTGATGTTGCTGCATCACACATCACTGATGTTGCTGTGTCGAGACTTCAATATCTTAGCTGTATGAACTCAGTTTCATAGTTTTTCTTTCGAAACATAAATTTGTTTAAATTAATTTAGTTTCCTCAATTTCACTTGTTTTGACTACATTCACATTTTAACTCTTAATTGATTTCTTTATATCGATTCTATTTTGCTTAACTGCAACCAAAAAAACAAAATGCCTTCTAGGTGTCCCTTGATAAACGTATGTTACGAGAATAGATTACTTTGTTTTTAAGCACAACTTCTTGAATTTTTTGGCCTCCATCACCCCACTGTATGTCTTGAATTTCAAAATATTTTAGAGATTTAAAGGCTAATTATGTAGAAATTTATCATAAAATTTATATATTTTTGCCTTTTTAAATTTAAAATATTGTTGATGATTTTAAAATAGACAGTCTGAAAGATGTCACATGGCTCCTGTCCATTCGGCAAATCTTTTTATTCCGATACAAACACGCCTAAGACTCTGCATAATACCACTTGTGAAGATTACTCGACTTTTTGGTGATAAGTAAACACACAAAAAAATCTCTTTATTTTCCGACCTGTTTCTGAGAGAAATATGAAGCACTCTGCCAATGCTCATCACCGAAATTGCTGTAAATCAGTGAAACACCTGCATTAAAATTTATCAGTGACCGCCAAATTCTACAACATGTTTGAGAGAAGAAAAATGGATTCTGATAATTGGATTCTGACCTTGATTTTTTCAGTTTTGTTGCTGCTCCAATGGTACAGAACCTCTCAATTCTTCAAAATTTAAGGATTTTGTGTTTTTTACCTTTACTTGAAAAATCATCCTTTTTAAGGATTAATATACATCATTTCACGACATGATTTAATTGTTTTAAGAGTTTAATTTGTATGATTATGCAACATAAATGTATATGATTTAATTTATGGAATCTAATTTTTGCTTTTAATAACCCTATTACAGATTTCAAGATTTCTCACTGTATGTATGCATGCGCAATCTTGTACCCTATTTAAATTCAATACAGATGTGCTCGTAAAAATGTGCTGCAAAAACTTCAAAGCAGTAAATTACCTTTTTTTATGTCCATATAAAAATAATATATTCTATAAAAAAAATTTAAAAAAACTTAATTTTATGCCGATTTTTTTGTAAAATGTCATGATTTTTATTTCAAATCACTACAAAGCCTGCATTTGAAACTTCAGGATTTATTTTAGGTGTACCTGAACTTATTCCTTCCATACATTAAATTTTAAATTATGTAAATAAAAGAGTATTATGAAAGATGAAAGGGTAAAATTATGTAATATGAAAGGTTTTTCCTGTGGTATAGCATCTTTTTAAAGAATTGAGGAGTCCATTCAACTAAGAACAAATAATCTTTGTGGGGTTTTTTTTTTATTATTTTTTTTATTTATTAAAGTAAAAATAATTTGTAATAGTAGTTTAAGTTTAAGCTATGTTATTTAATGAAATGAAATCTTCTGTATGTTTTGTTTACTTATGAATTTGTCTGCAGTTAGATAAAACTCTGGACTTGGTAAAACTTATTGAACAGACAGGAGTGTCGGCTATTGCAGTTCATGGTAGAATCATGGGAGAGAGGCCACAACATAAAAACAGAAACTATGTCATTAAAGCAATTGCAGAAACTATTTCTATACCTGTTATTGCAAAGTGAGTAATACTTTGCTCATATTTACAAATTATATATTTTAGTGTATAGATTTTATCAAACTTTAAAATCATATAACATTCAAAGAATATTATGATTCTATAATTAAAAAGTTTAAAGATTGTTTCTATAAAATAATAAATTTAATAAAAGAAATAAGTTCATATACAAATTGATCGAAATTTTTAAAAGAAATCAACACCTTCACACTGTAAATAACAAAGAACTGACTTTCCTTTTTTTTAAATGACAATCTCTATGATTAATGTTAAAATTGTTTGATGACGCATTATATCAATAAGCCATTCGTTTTAGTGGTGGTTCAGGAGAGATTAATTCTTATGATGATATAGAAAAGTTTCGCCAAGTAACTTGTAGCTCATCTGTGATGATAGCAAGACAAGCTGAATGGAATTGTTCTATATTCTGTAAAAAGGGAAAATTTCTTCTGGATGAAATTATTGAGAAGTATATCAAATATGTGAGACTCATTTTTTATTATTTTCTTGAGTGATTGATTTTTCAAAATATTTCTAATATTCTGGCTAAATATTTCATAGCTATTTTATGTAATATTTGCTTCTTTTTTTTATAAATTCCATTTAAGATTTAACTTCCTTTTTTTTTAAGATCAATGTTTGCTAATAGTAAAGTGATGCATTTTTTATACTTTAGTTTGATGTGATTAAATAGCAAGAGTAACCCTTTAATAAAACTGAATTTAAAAGTCATGATAAAAATTTACTATTTGTGATTTTGAAGCATTGTTTTGAATAAAATTCAATTTATGTGATTATTTAATGGAAGATTTTTGAGTATGAAATAGTCAGAGTTGATACTGCAATAAAAGTCCTTCATAAGAAATAGCCATGAATAGTATAATCAGAGATGATTGTGCTCCAGAAAAAAATCTGGACTTCCAGATTTTTGGCTAACCGTGATCCAGAATTTTCCGGAAAGCCGATCACATTTATGCATAAAAATTCTTGTATATTTTATTTATTTCTAGCTATATTACATATATCTAGAATTTGTGCTTGGCATAATTTTTTGAAATGCATCATTAATGATTTTACTCAAGAAATTTCCTGAATTTTTGAGTTGTGCTCACAATCACCCCTGTATAATTAAAGTGATAAATTTTATTTGTTATTTTTAAACTATATTATAATTGCCAATAGTGGTGCTCTGTAATTTTTTGTTTTTTTTATTTAGTCAATTGAATATGATAATAATGTATGGAATACAAAGTACTGTATACAACAAATGCTTGGTTCTCTGCAAGAATCTGAGAGGGGAAAGATGTTACTAGGTGCGCAGGAGATGGATGTTATATGGTTAGATTCCTATTTTTGTTTTCTATCCATTCATTACAGTTTACTCAATGAAAATATAATTAAATAAAGATCTGCATTAGGTTTTTAATGTAATGTTGAGGAGCTTAGTTATAAAATATGTCAGAAAATTGTTTTTTTTTAAAAATCTTAATTTTCCACGTTTAAATTGCTTTGTTCTTGACCGAACTCAACTTCCTAAGGGGGGAAATGTTACATATACTTTTTTATCCTTACTATTTAATTTTTACAAATAAATTATAACTTTAGTTGTCAGTATCTTTCAAAACATAATGTATAGTGTCGTCACCCAGCCTGAATTCGAAAAATATAGCAAGCATTTTATAATTTCAACAGCTTTTTTCACCCAAAATTTAACCGTTACGATTGTTTAATCAGCTTTTTTAAAAAGGTAATTTCGTAATTTTTGAACAGAACTTGTAGATTTATGAAAAATATCTTTGTTGTTACCTTAAAGAGAATTCTTAATCCAAATCAGTTTTTACTAGTTAATACTAAGCACACCTAACAAAAAATTAGTCACCCTTAGATAAATCATGAAAAGCCTAATTTAATGGCGTGCAACACCACCTCTGGATTCGATAACCACCTGGATTCGGCTAGGAAGTGAGTCCACAAAGTTTTGCAGGTACCCAAATTTTGAAGATGCTGATTTCTGCGTTTTGTTTTTTTTTTTCTCGTTGTTCCAGCATTCCCCACAAATTTTCAATTTGGGTCAAGTCAGGTAATTTTGCAGGCCAGTCGAGATGTAATTGAGTGTTCATATAACCAGTTATATATTCTTCCAAACCGATGAACTTTGCTGTTGTCATCTTGAAAAATAGGAATATTGACAACATACTCTTCATGAAGATGTTGACTGAAAGGCAACATCTAATCGTCCAGTATGTTCAAATAAGCATGTTGGTTCATATTAGTGGCCATCTCAGTGAGGGACCCAATCCATAATATGAAAAAACGCCACCAAAACATGACAGACCCACCTTAGGCTTAAACCTGACCTTGCACACAGTCAGGATGAAATGCTTCATCTGTTCTTCGTAGCACTTGACGACATGGGGCTTTTGAAAAAAGACAAAAACGGGATTCATCTTACCATATTGCATTTCCCCATTCAGCAACTATCCACGCTTGGTTCGCAACTAGCCCACTTAAGTCGCACAGCTTTATGTGCCTATGTGAGCAATGACATATTACAAGATGTTCTACTCAAATGTTCATTGCATGCAGCTCCCGTCGTAATGTTCTCTCACTAAAAGGTTGGGATGGACCTTCATTTTCTAAATAAAGCAATTCCTGTCGGGTTTGGAAGCGATTTTGATTGACAAGTCATGAAACATCTCTCCGGTCGCTTCCATACAGGATATTTTTCCGACCACAATTCTGACGTCGTCTTTCGTGACCACGTGCATTATACCACTGCTTGTAGACACGTTGAGCAGTCCACATCGAAACACTAACAAATCCAGCAGCTTCATTCACCATATGACCATGGGCACGGACAATCACAAATGCCCCTTTTTGCCACTCTATTACATCCTTACACTTATCCATATGTACACGCAATTTCCGCTTTAAACAAAAATATCTCACCGATAGTTACGCCTTTGATCTCGATGAAGTAGTGTGCACGCAGTTGAACACTGCATCATCTAACAAAACCTAACGATTCATCAGTGCTTGAGCACTAGGGTGACTAATTTTTTGTCCGATGAGCTTAAAATAAGAGTACATTTTTTAAAATCTAAGCACAGACAATTGTTCAAAATATTCAAAATTCGGATATTCAAAATACAGTTATATATGTTATCTATATTTTCCTCTTTTCTTAAAATATTGTCCTGTGGAATAATAATCTGCAATAAAAAGTTTCTTAAAAACAAACATTGAGAAATCAGCATGAAATCAAACATTTAGAGGGAAGAGAGCTATTGAAAGCCAAAGATAGTCAGCTGCGAAAAGTGGCTGAAATTTAAACTTTTTTTTATAAGGCTTCCTGATATTTGTGAAAATTAAAGTTAACTATCTCAAATTCTTTCAATCTAGCTCAACATAGTAATTTCGTAATTCTTTTCAAATATTTATTTCGATTTTTCTTATCATTATTTACATTTCTAGTGGGCTTTGGAATTTGTCAGATGCTCTTAACCAAAAACGAGCTGAAATGAAATCAAAAGCGGAAACATTGAAACGATTTCCTGACCAAGATATTGAACTTCAAATTGCTTTGAAAAGGAGACGTGTAAATGATGGAGATATAAATGAAATGGATATAAAATTCTTAAGGTTTGTTAGGTCTTAACTCTATATATTCATACATTCAACTTATTATTGTTAATTATAACATATACAAACTATTATTGTCAATTAAACAAACTGACATACTGATTTAGACATTCTGTCTTTCCTATACTTATTGTATGTAAAATATTTACCTCACCAAAAGTGATACTTAAATAAAAATATGCTTTTTTGGAAAATTGATGATATTTTTTTTCTCTTCATTTTAAGAATGAATAATTTAAAGAAGAATCGAAGAACTTTTTATATAAATATTTCAATAATTTTAAAGTTACAAATGGATTCGTTATTCAAACTGATTCATTCAAATTGACATATTTATTAAATACTTATTGTTCGTTTTATTAATGTAGGTTAATTGAGAATTTTTTAGAATGTATTTGCATTTTTCACTTTTAAATTTGAATATATATTACTATAACACTGTTTACTCTGAATACTAAATAATATCAGCCATTGAATTTTAGAACAAATTTCGATATGGATGATCTTCCCAAAACTGTCCTGTGGAACTGGGCCAAAGGTCAAAACATTGATCAGCCAAAATATCAAACAGTAAGTGTTTATATGTTTTATTTTCTCTTGCCAAATATTTCTGTAATAAAACTCCCATTCTATGTGCCATCTTATATCTTTAAGATGAAAGAGTGGAAATTATGTCACTAGTTGCGGAAAAAGGGCTGCTTGTTGCAATATCTGAGCAACAACAAAAAAATTTGGTTATTTTTTCCACTTCAAAATATTTATTTTTAATAAAGTAGATCATATCAAGACAATGCATTAAGAAATTAAACAATCTAAAGAAAACTATTCATTGTCAATTTGCTTTAGGCCAACAATTGGCTAAAAATTGATAATACACTTTAACATATTTATACTCGAAAATGGAATGGTAGTTTTTCTTGTTGTAGTTAAACCCATTAATATTCAAGTTACGTTTTTTATTTATATTTTGTCTATTAATTAAATCCAAAATCAGTATTATATAATGTGATGTTAATTAGAAAATTTCTTGCAACGACCCATATTCCAAGATCCGGATATTTCTAGCAAACTGATCTCAAATTTATCTCTAGAAAAATTGGTATCTTGTTTGTCGCTAATCAAATATTCAAAGAATTTTGTCTGTTTTTTTTTGTGTTTGACTTTAATTCATTTATATTTTTTCTATTTAGGTTTCTTTTGTCATGAACAAAATGTAATGACTTATTAATTATTTATTTTTTTTAAATTTAGGATCAATATGAGAAAAGTTTTCAATCTGTTGTACATATTAATGGGAAAAAATATACAAATTTATGCTTGTAAGTTTTATTTATATTTTTATGGAATTAAAACTTTTTTTGATAATATTTATTTGACATATGTTTTAATTGCAATCTTTTTTTTTTCATTCAGGGAGAAAAATAAAAAGAATGCTGAACAGGCAGCTGCTTTAGTTGCGGTTATTTCTTTAGGACTTGGGAAAAAAGACGTGAATCTTGAGACTTGTGGTTTGGAATCTACCAAAGATTTTTCAAACAAAACGACACCTCCTGATGCCCTCTGTAATACTGAAAATAACAATACCCTTACCATCAGATGACAACAGTCTTTCAATAGAGCAGCTTATGTAATTTTAAAATACAGAGTATTTAATAAAATAATAATTTGATAAATTATAGTTTAAAGTTAATTTCGGTGGGAAGTTTATAAACTGTTTGAGTGAGCATCAACATCTTGCTATTGAGAGTACAATTCTAGTCATGTCACATGGTCAATCATCTGAATAAGAACTAGTCCATCTAAACTACTTTTTTGATTTCTGGCAAAGAAGACATTTAAAATACATGAAAGACATTTATTTAAGAATTAAAAATTTATGTCTTTTACACAAATGTGTAAGTTTACCATTTGTGGTGCATTGCTATAGTGATCAGGTTAGACAAATGGTCAACTTATATTAAGGGAAATTATTCGTTTTTTCCCCCCTAATAGTTTTTCATAAATAGACGTAGTATAAGTAATGTTATAAGAAATAATTAAATTCTTCCAAGGAGTTCCTCTCTTCCAAAAAAGATACTTATCTTTTTAAGCTATTTTCCTTTCCATACTATGACTAGATATCCTTCACTTGTAGCGCTTTCCATCTAGTTTAGAGGTAAAACAATCTGCCCTTTTGCTCCAGAAAAGAAACAGTGTAAATTTTATATGAAAATGATTATTTCATCAAATTGTGTGCATACAAAGTTTCTTGGTTGATATTTACAAGATATCAATGTAGTTCACCACCTAATCAATTTTAGTACTAATTGAAACAATACACTTATTGTCTCTATTAAAAATCATGAAGGATGCAATTTTGGATTGTTTATCTTTATGTTACATTCTGATTTGCTACCTCAGAACTATAAGACTTAGAAACTTGAAATACGAGGGGTGTGTATAGTAAAATGAATAATAAAAAAGATCCGCTTTTCAGGATGCAACTAGAGAGTTGGAATTTGGTGAGCTGAAAGGGCCATATTTATTTATGAACTTAACACAATTTTTGGTCAGTATAGCCTGGTTAGTAGGGCTTTTGGTCAATGTTCAAGAGGGTGTGAGTTCGATCCCACAGCCTGAAGACTCCCCATGAAGTAAATAGTGACTGGTGCACGTTAAATCTGTTGGGTCACAAAATCCTCCATTACGCTCTGTGAATGTATGAATGGGTCCGCCCTGTGATAGGATTGTGGCGAATTGTGTGGAAGAAGTTGAATTCTTTTCCATAGATGGCGCCGCTAGAAAACAAGAAGTGCCCCCTTTGCCTAAATGGCATAGGACAACACAGCTTTTTTTTTTTTTTTTTTTTTTTTTTTTTTTTTTTTTTTTTGTTCAAAATTTTAATTTGTTCAAAAGTTTTAAGTGTATTTCTTGATAAAATTTTCTCACTTTTTTACGCTGCATTTTGCTTTCCTGCACAAAATGTATAACACTTAGAAACTTTAAATCATGAAAGCGTGTAGAAAAAAGTAAAAAGAGTTTGACGGGATTAAAAAAAAAAAAAATTAAGATTAGACAAATAATTTGAAAATTATTAATCATGTAAGGAAAAAATACGTTGACCTGTAGCGGACTTGAATATAAACAGAGTTTAAGTTTGACGTGCTGAAAGAACCACTTTATTTGTGAACTCAACTCGAATTTTGTTTTGAAATTCCAATTTGTCTGTAACTTATTGCGAATTTAAGAGTTTTTTTTTTTAATTTAAATATTGACTGTTACTATTGTTGTGGTAAATTTATTTTTCCCTCACGAAATCTTTATTTTACAGTAGCGAAAAAAAAAAAAGAGAGAGAAGTATTAATAATTATTTTCCAAATCTAGGTAATCGTCTATTTCGTTACGATTACCATATATTAACAAAATATTCTTATATAAAGCTGCAGTAATTATATATTTTCAACTTAAAATGTTCTATCTTTTGTCTTATATGTTGACATTTAAAAAAAAAACAATGAGAAGCAATTGGAGAGTAAATAGATAGATACTTCTGTTTTCAATGTTTAAACATTGGTTATCAAAAATTAAAGTATCTCGTGATAGCTGGTTGTTTTATTTTCTTTCGAAGAGCGTTTCATCATTTTACACTGTAATAAATCGCGATCAGACAAGTGTTCTTTTTCTTAGCATTAATGTCACTAAGAATTCGTATTTAATGGATGGTGTCTACAACTTCGTATTCCACCTTTTCTTTTTAAGCCGCTCCATTTCCAAAGATCGCAACGCTAACTCTGCAGCAGTTATCTACCAAGAAGTACTACTTATGATTTTGTTCGAGTAGTACCAGGGACTGCAAAACCAGAAGAGGTAGGTTATAGCCCTCTCGCATTTAATAAATGAAGGGACTCACCCCCTTCTTAGGTTACAGTTTTTCACTCAATATTTGAGTAAGCAAATTTACTATTAAAAAAAAGTTTTTTTTGTGCCCGAAATCTAAGAAAAACGCCTCTATTTCAAGCGAGTTTTACCATTTCCTTGGTGAAAATTGCTACCAAATCATCCCTCTACAGAGGAAATATACGTCCCCATTGCTGATCGATAATTCTTGGGAAATGGGGAAAATTCTTGGTTTCAAATGCCACAGCGAACAGAATAAAAAATGCCGTTAAATGAGTGATAAATAATATAAAGGTAAACAATTTCTCTTTTTAAAATTATATATTTTTTTAAACAGTTTGTGTCATAAGTTAAAATCACAAGTTCGAATTCGTGATTGTGATTTTGTGAGGTTTAGATATTCCGATTGATGTATACATATATATATTATATATGGATGGTGATTTCTACACTAGGGAACGCTGCAAGCTCCATGCCGCCTATACTTCCGGATTACTGTTTCCGGTGTATTTTAAAGCCATTTGGCTCACAACGTGATCATTGTGTTTATAGATTCTTGCAAACGAAGTATTTGATTACTTGTGTTTACAATGCTAAAGGTGCTAACACAACGTAAGATGGTGCACAGCTTGCAACAAGAACAAACAGTAATAAACAAATGGAAAGAGGCCAAATCAGGACTGCCAAAAAGCGTGTTATTCAAAATCTAGCAACCATTTCACCTTTTTTAACAATATATCTGTGGATAAGTAAAACAAATTTTCACTTCAAACTCACCAGAATTTCTTAATAACTGTAATATTTTATGAAATACGGCAGATTTAAGCTCAGAAATTATCTAATTTACCAAATTATCCGTTTGAAAATATCACCTCGCAGAATAAGCTGTAGTAAGCAGTTGCAAACTTTCTAACCGGAACTGGAGCAGGTATTGATCTCGAGATTGTTATTGTTTACATTTATATTGAAAACACCATCTATATTATATATATGGTACATATATACAGAGAGTCCCCCCCCCCCACTCTTGATATACTTCCGCGATCACTGAATAGCACATGACCACTTAACTGTGCTTGGAGACCACTTTATGTAGCTAAAATTTAGAAGGTGGTAATAGACTTAAAAGTGTGTACCCTGTATAAAATAGTGTGTCTCATCGCTTGTTACGCACATTATTTCGAAACTAATTTGCCCCAATGCCCTTTTCTGTCTTTTGAGTTATTTACATCCCACTGTGAGAAATATCACTAAACCCACCTGGATGAAATCTGTAAAAACTGATCAATGGTACTATAAATGTGATACGCACTTCAAATCGCGTAGAATTTCAGGATGATGACATTTGCTCGACAGACGATTTTTTGAACGATCCAGCTCAAAGCTTCCATGAGACATCGTAATTCTTTATTTTGTTAATTTATCATCTTTATTTATTTATTTATTTTTTAATGAGCGTAAGAGTTTTAGTTTGCATGAACTGCTCCTATCGGGTTCACAATTTCCCAAGTCACATTTAATGCGAAATTTTATTTTATTGAAAAGTTAAATAAAAAAAATGGTACGGTAGAACTTTTGTCACAATTACCTTTTCCTCGAAATTCACTTCAAGATTGATTGCTATTGAAATCTATTTGAAAAACAATTTATTTTCTTTTTGCCTTCTATGAATCCATCATTAAAAGTATTTTACTATTTCTTTTTTTTCTATCTCTGCAATAGCTCACCAGACCTGAAAAAAAGACACGGTGTCGTGAATGCGTTTCTGTTTTCTGATATAAACAGTTTACAGAAAATTCCGGGGAATTTTATATTTCTTGATTGTTTTGTGTTTTCGATTACTCTGTGAGACCTCTTTCATATCGGATGTTATGATTGTGAGAAAGCGGGTTTTGGAACCTGACGGCTTTTGTGCAAACATATCTGATTTTCGAAGTGCCACATTGCCCGTGATGATACAATGGAGATAAACGAACAGCGCAAAATGACTCATTAATCGTTTACATTTCAAACAAGGCAGGCGAGTCAGAATATTTGCTGTGGTGAGGAAAAAAGTATATATTTGTACCAATACCCGTGTCAAAAGAAAAAAGAAAGCTCAAAATGCAAATAATTATTTGCATTTTGAGCTTTCTTTTTGCTTTTGCTTCTAGCTTTCCTTTAGTTAAAGGAA